ACGCTACCATAGCCGACTATGCACATATCTAAAGTCTAGGAGCTCTGGTAGCGTAGTGGTTATGAATCGGGCTGCGAACCTCAAGGTCAGCAGTTCGAAACTACCAGCTGCTCCGCAAGAGAAAGACGAGGCTTTCTGCTCCCGTAAAGATTTACAACCTCAGAAACCCTGTTCAGGGTTGCTATAGGTCAGAACCGACTCGACGGCACTTAACAACAATACCAGGAGGGAAAGAGTCCTGACTGCAAAATCTGCTTAAACCTCAAGGTCAGCGGTTCAAACTCACCAGCCTCTCTTCAGAAACCCTATACAGGGTTGCTATGGGTCGGTTGGAACCCACCACTTAACAACAACAACAACCAGGGTGGGATTGGTTAGTTTATGCCAGACCTGGCTAGGAGGAGTCCTGCCTTGAAATTGACAAGGAGTTGTATTTCTAAGCAGTCAGCTCCACAAAGATTTTTGAGGAGGAAAGCAACAGGAAGAAGCACAGAGAGAGCGAGAAGGCACTAGACCTCCTAAAACTGGATCAAGAACTGTGATTCTGAAAACAGAAGGAACTCAGGGACAGGGGCAGGGCCAAGAGGAGGCTTGTCCTCAGGAGGGTTGTTGAGAAGAGCTGTCATGTACTGAAGAAGGGGGACTTTGCCTACATGCTTCCCGATCCGGATCTCGGATTGTACTCATTACTTCCTTAACAAAGTACTTAACTGTAAGTATGGTTCGTGAGTTTTATTTGGCCATTGCAATGGTTTACTGAATCCAGAAGAGAAGCAGAAACTGCTGATGATGTCAGAATTGATATTTAAAAAAAAAAATTGGAGCGTGGAGTTATGTCTAATGTCCACCTCCTTTTTTTTAACCTTTTATTGTGAATTAAGTGAAGGTTTACAAAGCAGATCATCAGTTTCACATTCAACAAATCATATACTTCATCTCAATGATTTAAATCTTCCTCAGAGTAACATCACATGTCTACTTCTCCCTGTGGTTCTTGTCTCCATTCCTTCATCTTTCCCAACCCACAGGAATTTTGTCCTTGGGGTAAATGCTGGACTTTTGATCTCAAATGGGTGGCTTCTTTACAGTAGTGATCTCATTCAGTGTTTGCCCTTTTGGTGACTAATTTCACAGAACATAATGCTTTCTAGGCTTCTCTATGTTATGATGACCTCTTCCTCTTCGTGGAGCCTTGGGCTGATCTTGATTCATGTTTTTGTTGTTGTTAAGTGCCATTGAGTTGGTTCTGACCCATAGCAACCCTGTATATGGTTTCCAAGGAATAGCTGGTGTGTTTGAACTGCCAACCTTGCGTTTCAAACCAACCATTGTGGTCCAGTGCTTATCCTTCAGCACCACACTAGGGCTCCTCTGATACTATTCCTCCCCCCATTTTATACCAGAGAAGGCCTTGTCTGAGCAGATGGAGGAAAGGAGGAGCTATATCCCTCTGTATAAAGGAAAAGTGGTCCAGGCAGATGAAACAGTATGCGCAAAGGCCCTGAGTTGGGACTGTGCCCGTGGGTGGTGTGGACTTGAGGCACAGCGGAAAGCCCACTATGGCTATAGTTGGGAAGAGCTGAGGACACAGGGAACCTGAGCAAGCAAAAGGAACAGTTAAGCCCAGACAAGGAGTCCGAAGGGTATGAAGCAGAGGGAGTGATGGAATTTAATTTGCCTTTTGAATTGGAACTGTGGGAAGTGGATTATGTGTGGGACAGAGCCTCAGTAGAGAGACCTAGTTAGGGCAGGACCTCCAGGCAAGAGAGGGGAAGGTCTGGCCTTGGGGATGGGGAAAGTGGATGAATACAGAGGATTATCAAAGCCCTCAACAAGGTCCCTCTTACAGACCTGGAATCAGAGGCACAGGAAGTGAGGAGGCTGCTTGAGAGGTGAGAAAGAAAGGGGGTAAGGGGAGGGGGCTGGATTGGAGAGCAGGCAAAGGCACTTTTCTTGGAGTGAAGAGACCAGCTGGAGGGGAAAGCAAGGGGAGTTACAAATGGCATCTTCTAGACAGTGGCTCAGGTCTCATTACACAAACAGCCTGCCTTGGTACTGTATGCAGCGAGTGGGGGAATCCCCTAGATCTTCAAAGGCAAAAGGCCTTCAGTAACCACGGCCTGCCTCGGGTCAGCATAGGGCCTGGTTCCTAGTATGTAGTCAGTAAATGTGGTTTCTGTTCATTTTTATAGCATTATTCAGCCTAGAAGTTCCCCGCTACCATCCCCAAATCCCTTATTTGCTACCCCAGGAATGTTAAGATTTCACACTAATCCCTTGAGAGTGTACCTAAATATCATCCCCCATTATCGGCCCTTTGAAAGTTTGCCCTGAAATTCCACTTTATATGACAGTGCTCAGAGCTCCCCCATTCACTTCCTCTCTAGGAGCCTCACGTAAGTTCAGCAGGAAGGAGGCATCTCAGCACTCTTGTTCTGAGAACAAAGGAAGTCACTTAGGTTGGCACTTGCTGTGGGTTCACATGGGGGTCAGCCCCTGGGCCCGACACTTGCCCTGATAGCCCACCCTACCTCAGGACCACAGAACATCTCTCTGTCCCTGGGCCTGACCATGGTGTTGCCCCTTGCTTCTGCAATTCTAAATTCTAACCGCCGCCACTTCGCCATTTCCGTTACTGGTGGCCCGCCTACCTCCTGTGCTGCTGATACCTCCCTAGGGCATCTTCTTCTTCTCTAAGGCTGCACACTATGGTGTTCTCCACGACGCCACTGCCCCACGCCTGCCTGTCTTTGTTTGGCATCCTGTTACCAGTCTGCTGTCTGCTGTTCCCAGGTAAGGGTCAGGAAAGAGAAAGCCCAGCTGCCCACCTCTTGCTGGATCTGTTGCTGTATGTACTTCCTGGAACTTGAATTTGGCAGGGCTCCCCCATGTCCTCCGGAGAAAGTCAGTGATGGGTCTTGAACTTGTCTTCAGAGTTCTCCATGGCCTAGTCCCTTTGTGTGACTTATATCACACACACCGACATGCACACATTCTCTCTTTCTCTCTGAGCCCTTCGATCCCTTGGTCTTTGCCTATGGTATTTTCTCTATCAGGAACATCCCTCCATCCACTCTGCTAACTCCTATTCACCCTTCACAACTGGCTAGAGGCGTCCCCTCCTCTAGGAAGCCTTCCCTGACCTACCCTGTCCTGTAGCTAGATCAGGGCCTCCTTTGGAATTCTCCCAGTTCTGGATTCTTCCCCACCTCCCAGCCTTGGAGCACCATAAGGGCAGACAGACCTTGTGCCTGAGCTTCACCCCCTTGTATCCCAGCATGAGCAGGGGGCCTGTGGTGGGGTGAGCTGGGGGACACTGGGACAGCCAGCAGAGCTTCCCCATGCCCCTGAAGGTGCCCAGGGGCAGGCATTGTCACTGCAGGTGGACCCCCAGGACCCAGTGGTGCCCAAAGGAGGATGGCTTCTCATGAACTGCAGTGCTAAGTGCCTGTATCCCAAGAAACTTGTCCTGGAGACAGCCTTGTCCAAGGAATCGGTGGGCCGTGGCCCGAGCTGGGTAACCTACCGGCTCCTAAATGTGACTGGTGACAGCGAAGTCATCTGTGCTGGGTTCTGCAATGGCTCACAGATAACCATTTCTACCAACATCACTGTGTACGGTGAGTGGGCAGAGTTGGTGATGGGCAGGGGGTCAACAGTTGTGAGGCCAGCATAGGACTGGGCAGTGCTTCCTTCTATTGTAAACAGGGTTGCTATGAGTGAGGTGGAAGTGACTGGAGACACCTAACAACAAAACAAGCTATCTGTACATCTCTGTGTGCTTGTTTCCATGCATATGTGAGTGACATTGGTCACAACCAGGCTGTGCCTCAGGAGTGGACCTGCCTGAGTGGCCCCTGCTGGCCTTTGCTGCCTCTGTCCAGTGCTGAGCCGGAATCCTCTTTGCTGTGCTTGTCCCTTCCCAACTCCACATCAAGATGGTAGCTTGAAATCAGCTGTAGTGAAAGTATTTACACCACAGAAAAGGGCAAATGCTTCAAGTCAGAGCTTCCCTTCCTTGGCGCTTGAGGAAATTTACCAGCATTTCCCAGTATTACACTGGCGTCCTTGACCAGTGGTGCCCAAGGTTAAGATTGTGGCTTCTTGGTTAAATATTCTAAAATTATAAATATTTGGCTATTTAATATTTTTCATATCAACCAGTCCCTGGCCGTTGCCCTAGGATTTGAGCTGCCAATGGTAAAAGATCTTCCCCAAAAGAGGGCCTAGTGTTTGTCTGCCAAGGGCATGCAGCTGCAGCTGGGAGGACACTGGCCTGGGTATGCCCTTAAGACCCCTAATTGTGCCAAAACACCCTTAAGGAGACCACTTAAGTGCTTAAGACTGATTGGGAAGGGCTAAACTAAGCGCAGGAGACCTGGTGATGCAGTGATTAAGAACTTAGCTGCTAACCAAAAGGTCACTGGTTTGAACCTACCAGCTACTCCGAGGGAGAATGATGTGACACTCTGTTTTCATAAAGATTTGTTGTGATTAAGTGCTGTGGAGTCAGTGAGGACTTGACGGCACTTAACAACAACAAAATAGGGTTTCCAAGGCTGTAAATCTTTGCAGGAGCAGAAAGCCTCATCTTTTTCCTGCAGAGCAATTGGTGGGCTTGAACTGCCAACCTTGTGGTTCAGTCCAGTCCAGTGCTTACCATGCAGAGCCACTGTGCTCCTTTGTAGAGATTACAGCCTTGGTAACTCTATGGTTCTATGGGGCAGTTCTGCTCTGTCGTGTAGGACCGCTATGATTCTGAATTGGCTTGTCAGCAGTGGGTTTGAACCCAGCTCAGGGAGGAGCCACCACAGAGTACTAGACTGGGAGTGGGAGGTCAGTGAGGCCAAGGGAGTCAGTCCCTGGCTATCACAGGAAGGAGGCCAATGGGCACCCCAGGGCCTGGAATTTGGGAAACCCATATTCCAGCCTGGGTTCTACCACCTCCTGGCTGTGTCCTCGGACAAGTTACCTCTCCTCTCCTAGTCATCTAAAGAAGGAAGAACAGAGCAGATTTCACTGGGCGACTTTGCAGATGGAGGCAGAGACACCTGGCAGTCTAAGGAAAGTTCTAAATTAACAGGAACTCTTTGTGATTACTAAATATATCGGAAGTGGTCATAATGTTAGTCCTCTTCCTTCCTAGTAGTTTTCTTCCCCGTCAACAGTGAGACCCTTGGGGAAAGTAAATCTTTTCTCTTGATGCCTAGCAAGGTGTCTGATAACACAGGAAACCATCAAAATGGCACTAATGGCAACAGCAAACACACAGGTGCAGTACCAAGGCTCTAGTTACGGAGCCCAAGTTCACAGTTCTGTGCTAGGCCTCCTGCTATCCCTGGGCCGGGCCTTATAGGACTGACTGCTAAGTGCCATCCCTCCCCTCACAGGGCTCCCAGATCGTGTGGAGTTGGAGCCTCTGCCCCTATGGCAACCGGTGGGCAAGAACCTCACCCTGCGCTGCCAGGTGTGGGGCGGAGCGCCCCGGGATAAACTCACGGTGGTGCTACTCCGTGGGAAGGAGGAGCTGAGCCGGCAGCCTGCATTAGGGGAGCCCGCTGAGGCCATGGCTACAGTGCTCGCTCGCAGGGAGGACCACGGCACCAACTTCTCATGCCGCACAGAACTGGACCTGCGGTCCCGAGGCCTGGAACTTTTTGAGACAAACTTGACCTCTAGGCAGCTCCAGACTTTTGGTGAGGTGTGATACCCAAGGGAAAGGGTGGGCTTAGGAGATAGGGTATCTCCACTTGGGGGTTGCAACTCTGGGGAGGAAGGACCCCTGGCTGCAAGATCCTGAATTGCAGAAACTTCTGGAAAGCTTGCCCAAGGCCAGGTGGGGAATGCCCTGGGTTAAAGTGCCCAAGGCTGCAGGGTCTTTTGAGCGAACTGTAACCCTGGCCAAAGACTGAGTGAGTCCTGCAATACAAGTGACCCATGACACAGTGTCCCAGAAAGAGGATGTTCCAGGTGGGGGCATGAAAATACCTCAGGAAAAGGCGACAGGATGTCCGTTTCCTCTGTTCATGCCTTGCCCCCTCTCCCCAGTTCTGCCTGTGAGCCTCCCGTTCCTCACGGCCCCCCAGATCGTGGAGGTCGGCAAAGAGTTGACCGTGGTCTGCTCCATGGAACGGGTGTTCCCAGCCTGGGAGGCTCAGGTCCACATGGCGCTGGGGGACCAGATGCTGAATCCTGAGGTTGTGATTCACGGGGACATGCTCAAGGCCACAGCCAGGGCCACAGTACACGAAGAGCAAGAAGGCGAAGGCACCCAGATTGTCTGCAACGTGACCTTTGGGGGAAAGAGCTGGGAGACTCGGGAGAACGTGACCTTCTACAGTAAGAGGGGGCGTGGCAGAGGCTAAACTACCACACAAAAAGAGCTGAGGAACCAGGTTTCCGGCTGTCAGACTAAGAGGGAGGCAGAAAGAGGGAAGTTAGGGACTGAGTAGCTAGAGAGAGACCTGGAGGGAGCCCACCCAGTGAAAGGAAGTTGCACATGGGCGGCTTGAGTAACCTAGAAATAGAGCTTTAAAGTCCTAAATTGGGCGGGGGAGGGGGGGGTAGTTCCGAGGAGTCCTAATGCACTAAGAAGCCAGCCCAAAAATTCGAAAGGTGTAGTCTGCACATCCCCAGAGGGACCTGGAGGGTGCGGCTGTGGCCAACGGACTCCTGGGCATTCCACGTCCTTAGGCTTCCAGGGACCCATCCTGAACCTGAGCAAGACCTGCGTCCCCGAGGGTACCACGGTGACTGTGACTTGCATGGCGGGGACCCAAGTTAAAATTACTCTGGATGGGGCTCCAGTAACAGCCCCCGGGCAGCCCGCCCAGCTTCAGCTAAATGCCACCGAGCGAGATGACGGGCGCAGCTTCTCCTGCAAGGCCAAGTTTGAGGTGGGCGGGGAAATCCTGCACAAGAATAAGAGCGTCCAACTGCGTGTCTTGTGTGAGTTGGTGACCCTGACCTTTAATCTCTGGCCCCTGCCTCTCTCTCCCTTTCACCATGGTGCTTTGGATTTGTTGGGTGTGACTTATCATATATGGTTGTCCCACAGATGGTCCTAAGATTGACAGGGCCCAATGCCCCCAGCACTTGAGGTGGAAATACAACAGTTACCAGGTTCTGCAGTGCCAAGCCCGGGGCAACCCGACTCCCCAGCTGCAGTGTTTGCAAGAAGTCTCCAATCTCACAGTGCCCATCAGGACGCCATTCCTTGTTACCTTAAACCATAATGGCATCTACCAATGTCAGGCTGTCAGCGAGCTGGGTACTACTACCATCAAAGTGCTGATGGAAGTTCAAGGTGAGCCGAAGCAGGGCTATGGAACTGGATGGGCGACGCCCGGAGGGGTCAGGGCACGTTTTAACTCAGTGCTTCTCTGCACAGGTCGGAAATCATCCAATGTCCCAATCTTCATGGCGGTGTTAGTGGTCCTGAGCCTGGTGACTGTCGCAACGGCCTTACGCTGCGTCTTCAAGGTGAAGACGCGGAAAGGCAACTACCGCTTGAAACACAGCAGCACTTCACTGCCCCTCACGTCTAGACAGCCCGAAGGGCTTTCGGGGGAAGAGCCGTCCTGAGATCCCAGACCAAAGATTACTGAGGTGATGGATGTATTCCGGGAGTCCACATCAATAAAGCTTTCAAACTCCGGAGACTCTGGTTTGATTCCACCAGCGCCGCGGGGCTCTCCTAAAGTGGCGCTCAATCTCTAAACCTCAGAGAAGTGGTGGAAGGGAGAGGGTGGAGCCTGTGGCGCCTAGATGGGCTAGAACTCTGCGCGAGGCAGGCTAAGCCTCACCCAATGGGCTAGGGGAGTCGGGGGAGGGAGGCGGAGCTTGTCCAAGCCAATCGGCGGGTGCGCCCTCGTTGCCGCTCTATGCCGTTCCGCCCCGGCTCGCTGGTCCCAGAAGGCTCCGAGTTTCCCAAGATGGCGGCCGACGTGTCCGTTACTCACCGGCCCCCTCTGAGCCCGGAGCCTGTGGTCGAAACTGAGGCTGGTGATGCTTCGGAGCGCCGGGTGCCGGAAGAGGAGCTTCCGCCGCTGGATCCAGAAGAAATCCGGAAACGCCTGGAGCACACCGAACGCCAGTTCCGTAACCGCCGCAAGATACTGATCCGAGGCCTCCCGGGGGATGTGACCAACCAGGTATAGGGGGTTTCGGCGTGGGAGCGTGGCGGGAAATGCCACCCTACGCGTGCGCGGGGGGATAGTGGACGCCACCAACCTTGGCGCGCGCGGGGCCGTCAGTGTCGGCGGGAGAGTCCGAGCGCGCTATCCACGCGATGTCGGGAAAGACCAAGTTCGGGATGTGGGGGGGCTGCTATGAAGGAAGAAACCAATATCGGGCTGCAGGCTAACGTTGCTAGGGGAGACCCCCAGCTTGGGCCAGATCAAGTGATTCAGGTGAGTGGGAGCTGGCAGCCTTGCCCCTGTTAAGGGACTTATGAATGGGCACCTAGACGAGAACTGTGGGAATTGGGGCTCCAGCTGCTCACAGCGATGATTGTACGTTGCCCCACCCCCACTACCAGGACCTTATCCTTGAAAGTTTCAGGTTTCCCTAGTGTTCGCCTCCTCCATTCCACCATCGTGTTTTATACTCTCCTCTCATAGATAGATCTGGAGGTTGTATCAGTTCCTGGGAACTCCCTTCTAAAGCCTCAGGATTCATTAGGAAAAAGGGAGTCTCCAACCACCAGTCTGCAGACCTGCAGGTCAGGTCTTCCTTTGCCGATCTTCCATCCCTGGGGCCCAACAGGGGCAGGGCTTCCCAGTGCTCTTTGGACCCAAAGACTTGGCATCCAGTTTGCCCTGCCCTGGTGGAATGAGTACTTCCTCTGTGCACTCAGGCCCATTCACACACCCAGTGGGCCTGTGGCCAGTGGAGCCCCCTGGAGTGTTGGGAGGGGCGTGGGGCCGGGACAGATATGCCACTAGGAATGGTCTGACTTGTTCCTGGAGCCAGTCCTCCCACTACCCAACCTCTCTCAGCTAGGAATGCATTGTCTCTCCCAGCGGGTGCACAGTATGTCTAGAACAAGGTGGCGTCAACAGGAATCAAGTGTAGCTGCAGGGTGTGGGCTTGTTAAAATCAGTACATGGGGTCCCCAGTCATGTAGCCCTGGGTGCATTCCTGCTCCTTCCATGGCTAGCTGCATGACCCTGGGCAGATTCTTTCCCCTCTCTGTGTCTGTTTCCTCATCTACAAAATGGGTTTGTGGATGAGGAAACTTCTAGGTTGTTGGGAAAAGTCAGGAACATCTTGCAAACCGAGGTTCAGAATTTCCTAAGAGCTGAGTTTTGAGTTCAGACCCGCCTAACTTTCTAAGTGTGTGGTGTGATGGGTAAAACTGCTACCAAATCAGGCTCTGAGTTCCAGTTTGACCACAGATCCGCTAATTGGCCTTGACAAGTAGCTGTTCTGAGCCTCACTTTTCTCATTTGTAAAATGAAAAACATTCATAGCCGATCTATGGTTAAGTGTGGGAACAGAGGTTGACACCAATAAGCAATTAGGAAGTGACACTGGGTCACTCCTCCCTTCGTCCCCTGATGACTCCCTGTCCTTGGGCTTTTGTCTCCACAGGAAGTGCATGACCTGCTCAGTGACTATGAACTGAAATACTGTTTTGTGGACAAATACAAAGGGACAGGTTTGTGGGACTTGGGGTGTGGGAGTGGAGGGCAGTGAGTCCAGGCCCACCGTCACCTCCCAGGCCAATGCAGCAGACTGCCCCAATCTGTCCCTCACTCTGGGTGTCCATCTGAGGACAACCTTGCTGTTCCTCTTCTGGGCTCTTGAGCCAGTTGCCACTGCCTCCACCTCTCCCCCAGGTCATCTGAGCCTATTTAGCTGTCTTCTCCAGAATAACCCAGTGCCCCTCCATTCCTATGGCTTCCACTTGATCCACATGTGATATGGCTGGTGGGCTCAAACTGCTGACCTTATGATTTGCAGTCCCGTGCTTATCCACTCTTCCATTTTGCCTAACACTATATCATAATTTGAAAAATACTTTTCTTAAATAATTATGTGTTGCTTTCTCATTTATAAACTTATTTTTGCTTTCAAAGAGTCAGCTCTTGATTGATTTACATCTACTGGTGCCTCCACGAGTTCATCCTATCCCATCAGCCAGCTCCCTTCTGGCTGCTAGGTTAATCAAACCTGACCCCAACCCCGAGCATTCTTCTGCTGATACTACTATATTGTGAAGATAGGTCCCCGCCCACAATATTCCCACCTGTTCCCTGTGCCACTGCTCTAAGCTGGCCTCTCCTCCACCCCAGTGTCCTGGGTGCCCCCTCACAATACCACTTCCCTGGGCTGTGGTTGCTGGCTCACTCTCAAGATCGGAGGCCAGTGTCGTCCGCCTTGGCCCTGTTTGTGGGGCTTCCCAGGACCTTTGTTTCTAATGGGCCACATGGGTGGAAGGGACCTGAGGACAGGAGCTCCCTTGAGACCTACCTGGCTGGGAAGCAGGCGAGGGTAGTGCTTAGAAGGGCTCTGGAGGCCTCCAGACCTGGCTTCGAGTCCTGGTCTGCCCTTGCAGTGTGACCATAGGCAAGTGATGTAACTTTTCTGACATTTTGAAAATCTCCTTGTGGCTCTTGGGTGGAAAGTGAACTGAGAGTGGCAGGGCAGTGGAGGCAGGCTCCCAGGGCAAGGGGCACTGGGGACCAGGAGAGACTGAGGAAAGAGGTGCCGAGCCGGCGGGGGATGTCTATTCTGAGTGTGGTTGTGAGGACCGATGGTATCAGTCTCAACAGTCGGCACCATACTTTGAACTTATTCAGCGCTGGAAGGTGGGGTTCCTACTGTTACTCCCATCAGGAGATGAGTAAACCACCTAAAACCAGAAAGTTCAAACCACTGCCATTGAGTGATTCTGGCACATAGGGACCCTGTGTCAGGTTCCTGAAGCTGTAAATCTTTACAAAAGGAGACAGCCTCATTTTTCTCCCAAAGAGGGCCTGGTAGGTTTGAACCTCTGACCTTGTAGTTAGCAGCCTAAGCAGGCTCCTCTGGCCACATACTTCTGAACTTTTGCAGAGTGTGCATTAACAGCCCCATTTACACCTGTAGCGCATAGGACAGAGCCATGTAGGGCAGAGCCTGGTGCATGGCAGGCTATGAGCTGGGGTTGGGGGGATGAGGGCAGGACGGGGGGTCTCTTATGTGAGCTCTTGGTGCCTGTTCCTGTGCCTGCTTATTGGGGAGATGAGGGGGTGACCCCTTAGGGTCTCCACTGACCCCAAGCCTGCCTTCTGTGCAGCCTTTGTGACACTGCTGAATGGGGAGCAGGCCGAGGCTGCCATCAGCGCCTTTCACCAGAGCCAGCTACGGGAGCGGGAGTTGTCAGTGCAGCTACAGCCCACGGATGCGCTGCTGTGCGTGGCCAACCTGCCCCCCAGCCTGACACAGCAGCAGTTCGAAGAGCTGGTGCGGCCCTTCGGCAGCCTGGAGCGCTGTTTCCTGGTTTACAGTGAGCGCTCTGGCCACTCCAAGGGCTATGGCTTTGCGGAGTACATGAAGAAGGACTCGGCCGCCCGTGCCAAGTCAGACCTTCTGGGCAAGCCGCTAGGCCCACGCACCCTCTACGTGCACTGGACGGACGCCGGGCAGCTGACTCCTGCCCTGCTCCACTCGCGCTGCCTCTGTGTTGACCACCTGCCACCCGGCTTCAGTGATGTGGACGCCCTGCGCAGGGCACTCTCAGCTGTCCATACACCCACCTTCTGCCAGGTGAGCCCTGTGCCCAGTGGGAGTCAGTTGCAGGCCCAGAGCACCTGTTCCTAGTGCCCATGTCAGGAAAGTGGGGGTCATGGGACTTTGAAACAGGGTTCTGTTAAAGGGTAGTATGGTGGGTAAGCACCCAGGGATTAGCCAGATGGCCGGGCTTCGAATTGCTATGTGACCTCGGACAATTCGCTGCACTCTGCTGCCCTTAGTCTCTCCCCAGAGAACTGCTGACTGTGAGGCTTGGTGTTGCGTGCCCTCTTCTGACACTGAGGTGGCCACTCTGGTAGAGCTCACAGTCTGCTGTGCTTTGAGGTTAGGAAGTCAGGCAGGCTGGTCGTGCTCTGTGATCCTGGATGGGCCTCTCTGCCTTCACAACCTTGGTTACCCGTTGCTGTATGCTCTTCTTCAACACTCCCTCTCAGGATTGACGAGCATGGTCACTTGTTCATTCCAGTCACATTTCAGGAACTTCTGTACAAATGGTTAGGCACTAACAGAGAACCCACCCAGGGCACCTCAGAAGAGAATCCTTTGTATCTATTTCTGAAAAATTTGCCACTGAAAAGCCTGTGAAGCACAGTTCCACCTGATGTACGTGGGGTTGACGGGCGTTAGAGCCAACCCAGTGTCCATTGTTTTAAGTGTGTGTGATTGGCTGGCTGGCACTGCAGGGCAAGATGAGGCCGGGCCCCCTGATAGCTTTGTCCCCAGGTTCCCACCGTGGATCTGCCACAACCCTCACTGTGTCCCACCTTACCTGTGACAACCCAGAGAGACAGTGAACCCCTGATTCTTGGGGGAGACTATGTGGGACAAAGGGTCAAGTGAGGGGCCCAGGGCCACACAGCCAGGGCATGACAGATGCAGGATGAGGACACTGATGTCTGGCTCCAGGGGCTGGGCAGCCCTGAGAGGGCTGGGCTCAGATCAGACAGTCAAGGGTTCTGACTCCTGCACCTCAGGATGGGGGGCCAATAGGACCCATTCTTGCTTACTTGCCATTTGTTCATTATACTGCCCCCTAGTGCTCAAACTCCATGTCCCAGATCCTGTGGGAGGTAAAGGGGTCCCGAGCCCACACCCTTTCATGAAGAGGTTGAGGATGTCAGGGTCACGGCCAACTGGCATGGTCTTCTCTCAGAGCCTGAGTTCCCGATCTCTCAATGGGGAAAGCAGTGCTGGTGACTGGGAGCTGGTACCCTTGAAACCCAAAACCACAGCTGATCCTGGTTCATGCCAACCACAGCTGTGCTTTATGGAACTTCTGAGTTTTCAGAAGGTTGCCAGGCCTTTCTAACAAGATACCTCTGTGGGGGTCCTCAAACCAGCAATTTTTCAGTTAGCAACAGCTGCATGTTTCACCATCTGCACCCCCCTGGTACAACCCATAAGACACCAGGCTATCATTACAAAGTTTCTGCTCATTTACTGATTTTGTGAGCAGGCGGTCCACTCACGTTTCAAAATTTACTGTGTCCAGAAAGGTCTGTGGTGTAGGATCCCTCCTGGCCTGCCCCGTGCCGTCTCCGGCAGCCAGTGCTTTCTGTGTGTGTTTGCCCAGGGAGTGATCACACACCAAACCCACAGCTGGCTGTGTGCTCTCTCACCCCAGATAGTGCTGCGCCTGCTCTGCTTTTCTCCACTTGATTTAGCCTGGAGAGATCTGTGTGATTTCAGGTGTAAGCACTTCCTCATTCCTGCCTAGCTGTGCAATACCCATGTTGTGGATGTTGTGCTGGGGCCCTACCGCTTACCAGTTGCCATTGAATCGGATTCTGTGTCAGTAGAGCTGGGCTCCGTCGGGTTTTCAGAAGTAGATTACCGCGCCTTTCTGTTGAGCGCTCTGTGGACGGACCAGAAATGCCAACCTTTTGGTCAACAGCTGAGTTTGCACCACCCAGAGATTCCACTAGGCCCTTACTGATGGACATTCGTGTTGATCCCAAAGCTAACTGTCTCATTGAGGGTCAAAGCCATTTCCCTGCAGAGCCTGGGTCCTGGTGTTAGCTGGGCCTCGTCTGCTCCCAGCTGCTGCTCCAGCCTGGGCAGAGGACCACCACTCTGAGCCTCAGTCTGCTTGTCTGTAAAGTGGAGGCTGCTGGCAGTGCCTCCTTCACCATGCAGGGGAACAAGGCCAGCCACGAAGGGTACAGCTGGGTGCACTCAGGACATCTACTCCCCTGGGCTCAATCCCACCACAGTTCTACCCCCAATGCCCGTAACCTCAGAGACTTCTTGGTGGCTTGCTGCAGGAAGCTGTTCTGATGTAAAGTGAACTGCCCCAGACTCTGCGGGCGCGGTGTAGTCTACAGCCCCTTGCCACCTCCAAAACACCCTCCTTCCCGGAGGGCATCTGGTTCCACCAGGGCCAAGAGCTTGAAGTGCAGCTCCAGGATGGCCAAGGGACTGGGTGGCCACCTCACCCCTGTCTGTGGCCTTTCCAGCCCCGTTACAGTGTCCTTAGTCTGAACCTGTGGCCTGGTGGTTCTTGGTGAGCCAGGGAGTGCAAAGAAGACCCTCCGTGGTGTTGGTGTGAGGCCCCAGCTCTAGGCTCTCTCCTGAGGTGTGCCCTTGGGTACATTAACTTCTGTCTCAGGATACTGGCAGGAGGAGCCTCCCATGGGGTTGAGATGAGGTGACCTAAGCTGGTGTCGGCTCCTGGCGCCCTCTCTGAGGTCACTATCACAGTCTGCATCCACGTCCTGGTCACCGCTGTCCTTTCCCATGAGGTCCCATCTAGGGGCTCGCAGTCAGAATCCGTGTCCTGGTCACTGTTACCCCTTCCTGTGACTCCCCTCTCTGGAGTCACTGCATCCAGGTCACTATTGTCGTTTCTCATGAGGCTGGCACTTGGCCGTTGCTGCCCCATCTTAGCTCTCCCATCTGCCTCCCCCAGCTGGCGTACGGCCAGGATGGGCAGCTGAAGGGCTTCGCTGTGCTGGAGTACGAGACGGCAGAGATGGCTGAGGAGGCCCAGCAGCAAGCCGACGGGCTGGCCCTGGGGGGCAGCCACCTGCGTGTCTCTTTCTGTGCCCCCGGGCCTCCTGGCCGCAGCATGCTGGCTGCCCTCATCGCTGCCCAGGCCACAGTGAGTGCGAGCTGGGGCAGGGGAAGTGATTGATCCCCTGGGACACCAGGCAGCGGGGCTCTGGGTGAGGGAGGGGAGAGAGCTGCAGGGCCTCACCTGTGTTCTGAGCCACCTCCCTGCCTCCTGCAGGCCCTCAATCGGGGCAAAGGGCTCCTCCCTGAGCCCAACATCCTGCAGCTGCTCAACAACCTGGGGCCGTCTGCTTCCCTCCAGCTGCTGCTGAACCCTCTGCTCCACAGCAATGCGGGGGGCAAGCAGGGTAAGGGGGCCCCCACTTTCCCTGCTGAGGGGAAGAGACTAGGAGAGGGGATGTTACCAGAATGGGGCCAGGTGTCTGCTGGGGCTCCCCTCCCCCCAGCTTCCCCCAGGGGAAGGTGCCTCTGCACAGTGGGAGGGCAAAATGAGGGGCTGCCCCACCCCGGCTGACTCTGCCTTTCTCAGCCCTCCCTCCCGCTCTTCAGCTTCTCCGTCCTGTCAGTCCACAGGCTCAGGCTGTGTTGAATGGGGAGGGTCCCTGCCCATCCAGGACCACTGCCCACTTCTCTGTGTTTCCCCCCCCCCCAGGCCTCCTTGGTGCCCCCCCAGCCATGCCGCTACTGAACAGCCCAGCCCTGTCCACAGCGCTGCTGCAGCTGGCCTTGCAGACCCAGGGTCAGAAGGTAATGGCCTAACCCAGGCCATCCAGCCACCTGGGCTCTTCGCCCATCCCCAAGTTCTCCCATGCCACACACTCCATAATCCCGGCCTGTGTGACACCCTTCTCTCATAAGCTGGTTTGATGTTGGCATGTGGCTTTGGTGCCCAGTATAGGACCTGGCCCACTGCTGGTGCTAAGAATGCAGGGAAGTGACATGGGCCAGGCCACCTAGGCAAGCCCAGGACACTATCCTTTCTTAGACATGCCCCCTCCAGCCTGAAACCACACCCTCTACACATGCATGGCATCCATCTGGCTGTCAGTCACGTTTATTGTTGTTGTTGTTAGGTGCCATCGATTCGGTACCGACTCATAGCAACCTTATGCACAGCAGAACAAACACGGCCCAATCCTGGGCCAACCTTACCACACTTGAGTCCATTCGATGCTGCTACTTGGCCAATCCATCTCACTGGGGGTCTTCCTCTCTTTCTCTGTCCCTCCACCTTACCAAACGTGATATCCTTCTCTAGCGACTGTTCCCTCCTGACAATATGTCCGAAGTATGAGACGAAGTTTGGCCGTCTTGGCCTCCAAGGAGCACTCTGGCTGCACTTCTTCCAAAATGGATCTATTGGTTCTTTTGGCAGTCCATGGCACTTTAAATATTCTCCTTCAACACCATAATTCAAAGGTATCAGTTCTTCTGTAGTCTTCCTTATTCACTGTCCAGCTTTCACATGCATATGAGGTTATTGAAAATACCATGGCTTGGGTCAGGTGCACCTTAGTCCTCAAGCTGACATCTTTGCTCTTCAACACTTTAGAAAGGTCTTGTGCAGCAGATTTGCCCAATGCAATTCGTTGTTTGATTTCCTGACTGCTGCTTCCGTGAGTGTTGATAGTTGATCCAAGAAGAATGAAGTCCTTGACAACTTCAATCTTTTTTTCCGTTGATAAGAATGTTGTTTTTTGGTCTAGTGGTGAGGATTTTTGTTTTCTTTACATTGAGATGCAATCCATACCGAAGACTGTGCTCTTTGATCTTCATCGGTAAATATTTTAAGTCCTCTTCACTTTCAGCAAGCATATCGCAGGTTGTTAATGAGTCTTCCTCCAATCCTGATGCCATGTTTTTCTTCATATAACACAGCTTCTCTGATTACTTGCTCAGCATACAGGTTGAATAAGTATGGTAAAAGAATACAACCTTGTCGCACATCTTTCTTCATTTTAAACCATTCAGTGTTCCCACGCTCTGTTCAAACAACTGCCTCTTGGTCCAGGTACAGATTCCTCACGAGCACAATTAAGTGTTCCAGAATACTCATACTTCGCAGTGTTGTCCATAGCTTGTCATGATCCACACAATCAAAAGCCTTTGTGTAGTCAATAAAGCACAGGTAAACATCTTTCTGATATTCTCTGCTTTTAGTCAAGATCCATCGGACATCAGCAATGATATCCCTCTTTCCATGGCCTCTTTTGAATCTAACTTGAACCTCTGGAAGTTCTCTGTCAATGTATGATTGTAGCCGTTTCAGTATTACCTTTAGTGAAACTTTACTTGCATGGGATATCAAAGAGATTGTCCGATGATTTTGCATTCCGTTGGATCACCTCTCTTTGGAATGGGCACAAATATGGATATCTTCCAATCAGTTGGCCAGACAATTGTCTTCCAAATTTCTTGGCATAGATGAGTGTCTCCTGTGCCACCTCACTTTATTGATTTTTCAATTTTTATTCCATCAATTCCTGGTGCCTTGTTCTTTGCCAATTCCTTCAGTGCACCTTCTGAAGGACTTCCTCCTTCAGAATCATTGGCTCTTGATCATATGCTACCTCCTGAAACAGTTGATCATTAACCATTTCCTTTTGGTACAATGACTCTGTATATATTCCTTCCATCTTCTCTTGATGCTTTCTGCATCATTCAATAATTTGTCCAGAGAATCTTTCAATAACGAAAGTCGAGGCTTGAATTTTTTCTTTAGTTCCCCCGGCTTGAGAAATGCTGAGCGTGTTCTTCCTTTTTGGTTTTCTGAGTCAGTCATGTGGGTGTGTCTGATTGTAACTGACAATGTCTTGAGGTTGTGTGTGTTGACTCTTGTGTAGCTAAGAGTGACTGTCAGACAGCGGCAGACAGTGTGGGACTGACCCTCACTTTCAAGTGGCTTTGCTCCACGTTCCCTGTATCTGTGTCTGTCCAGTGCTGTGCATGAGACCCTTGGTGGCCATTGTCTGAATGGATGGATGGTGCTGGCCAGGGCCTCTGCCTGTCGGCCTGGGGGCTGTGTGCGCTGGGTGGCTGTTATCTGTGTCCCCAGCTGACTATGTTCTGTCCCTAGAAGCCTGGCATCCTGGGAGACTCTCCCCTGGGCCCCCTCCAGCCAGGAGCCCAGCCAGCCAACCCCCTCCTGGGAGAGCTGTCTGCAGGTAACACAGACCTACCAGGCTCACTCTTGTCCCCAACCCTTGTCAAGCCCATTTCCTCACTGGGGTGGTCTCACCTCTCTGGGGGTGTGTCCTCAGCTGTCTTGGGGCTCCGTGGGGGATGGGAAAGGGCACAAGATCCTGCGCTACTAAGCAACTGATCTTCTTCTCTGTAGTGGGGGGTGTGCCCCCAGAGCTGCCACCCCGGCGAGGGAAACCACCACCCCTGCTGCCACCACTGCTTGGCCCCTCTGGAAGTGACCGGGAGGTCATGGGCTTGGGCCCTCCAGCAACCCAGCTCACACCACCCCCGGCCCGTTCCAGCCTTAGAGGCCTCCAGAAAGACAGTGGGCCTCTGCCAACGCCCTCTGGGGTAAGGGCCCACCCTGCACCCAGATCCACATCAGCTCCCTGCTCAACACTGCCACCTCTGTCAGGACCCTCACAGTTACGGCCTTCCTGCTACAGGTCTCGCTGCTGGGGGAGCCTCCTAAGGACTTCCGGATCCCCCTGAATCCCTACCTGAATCTACACAGCCTGCTCCCAGCCAGCAACCTGGCGGGTAAGGAGGCCCGAGGCTGGGGGGGCGCTGGGAGTAGCCGCCGCCCAGCTGAGGGCCCCCTGCCTCCCCCCCCAGCCCCTGGAGGCGCCAGCAAAGCCTTCCAGCTCAAGTCCCGCCTGCTCGGCCCCCTCACCAGCACCCGCCTGCCCCCTGAGCCAGGGTTGCCCGACAGCTATGGCTACGACTACCCCTCGGTGAGTACTCGATGGCCTCTTGTCCTGAGAGCACTTCAGCCTCCAACCCAGTGTCTCCCCGCTTCTGGCTGCCAGGCCCCAGGCCGGGTGGCAGGGAAACAGTGGGGAGATGCTGAACACAGTCCCTACCTTGAAACCTTTCTGTGTATGTATGTATGTCTGTGGAGACCACCCCAGGCCCTGTCCCTACATCTGCCTGCCCCTCTGTCTTTCTGTTTCAAGAAGCCTTAGGCTGTGCCTCTCTTTTCTTCCTGGAAGCGAGGTTGGCATCCTGTCTCTTTGTTCCTGTCTCCCACTTTAGTTCCCATCTTTTCTAGAGTTCCACTTCCTCCATAGTTGAAGTTGTAAACTGGCCACACGTAGGCCACCTGTTTGTTTTGTTAAAGAAAAAGAAAATAACACCCATCTGAACTAAGTGCCACCATGTAAAACTTGGAAATTTACACAGTCTGCATTCTCAGCTTGCCTTGCAAACCCCTTACTCCCTGCCACTCCAGTGGGGCTCCGCGTCGTCATAGCAGCAGGCAGTCACATGTGCAGCACCCTTTGGGATGGGCGCTTGTTTTTCTCATTCCGCAAATGCCACCCTCCTGTAGCTCCTGCAGGCCAAGTTTGCCCCCAAACTTTGCCTTTGCTGGGCATGGAGAAGAGGGGGTGGGCGTCTTTGACGGCAGTCAAGCCATGGAGTTCAGCTGAAGGGGAGATGGGTGCAGACCCTAACCCACCTGCTTCTCCCACTTTCATTCAGGACATGGGGCCTCGGCGGCTCTTCTCCCATCCACGAGAGCCTGCCCTAGGGCCTCATGGACCCAGCCGACTCAAGGTAAGGGTTGCTGGTGGCCACTCCTTCCCCTCTGGGTCTGTTGGTTAGCTACTGCAGTGGAGCAAACCACTCTTCCAATAATGACTGAAAACAACGACCATCTCTCTGCACAGTCACCTGGCCACTCAGTTGAGATGGATGGTCCCCATTGGCCTCACTCACATGGTTGGTGCTTGGCAGGCTGTTGACTGGGCCACAGCCGGGATGGGGCATCGCTGCCCCTCCCTGGAGCCTGTGCCCACTCACTTGCTGGTGGTGCCAGGCTTCCCCGAGGAAGAAGGGAGCCTGCTGCGCAGGCTTCATTTAGTCTCTGTGAGCAGCATCTTGCCATTGTCCCCTTGGCCAAAGCTAGTCCCCACCCTTTAGGGGTTCCAGCAAGTGTGTGGACTACTGTGATTTCTTGGGGGCTGACTTCTTAGATAGGCTCCCTCACTCAGTTCACCCCTCTCTGCAGATGTCCCCCCCCCCCAGCAGCTTCAGTGACCGGAGTGGTGGGGGGTCGCTGGCTCACTTCTATTCGGGCTCGCCCACCTCCTACTTCACCAGCGGCCTGCAGGCTGGCCTCAAGCAGAGCCACCTCAACAAGGTGAGAAGCCTCCCAGGCCACAGACAGGTCCCCAGGGACAGGGAGGATGGGAACAGGCTGCGGTGGCTATGGGCTTAGCCTTGTTCGGGACAGGCTGGCCTTATCTCAAGTGCCTGCGTGGCCAGTACTGCTCCTGTCCAGCCCACTGGGCTTCCTGGCCTTTCCTCCCCTCCTCACCCAGTGTGTGGATGACATTAGCCCCAGTTGCTAAACAAGAAAGCCAAAGCTCTGTAGTGGTCTCCTCACTTCGAAGTAGCAGCAAAGGCCAGGTTTGAACCTGAAATCCCTCACCTCCTGCCTGGGGGCCACAGGCAATGGCCTCACCCAACTCTTTTCCATTTTGCCCAGGCGGTTGGCTCCTCTCCACTGGGCTCTGGAGAAGGGCTTCTCGGCCTCAGCCCTGGGCCCAATGGCCACAGCCCTCTGCTGAAGGTATGGACGGGGGATGGGGGCGGCAGGTACGTGAAGGACTGGGGTGTCCTGGGCAGCCCCTAACCCCCTACCCTTTGCCCTGTTTCCAGACTCCACTGGGTGGCCAGAAACGCAGCTTTGCCCACCTGCTGCCCTCCCCGGAGCCCAGCCCAGAAGGCAGCTATGTGGGCCAGCATTCCCAGGGCCTGGGCGGCCACTATGCAGACTCGTACCTGAAGCGGAAGCGAATTTTCTAAGAGGCTGGCAACAAAGATGCTCAGGGGCCTGCGCCAATGGCGTCTGGGCTTTCTGGTGTCTGTCCTGTTATTCTTTTGATGATAAAAAAAAAAAATCTCTGAAAGACTTTTATGACCAATTAGGCCGGAGCCCCAGGAGTCTGGGGGAGTCTAGGGGCCACTCTTTACCTCTGGCCTGCTTCAGGCGCCGAAATCCTGCAGCCTTAAGAGAGAGGGCACGAGCATGCCCTCTCCCCTCCGCCGACGCCTGCCCTCAGCCCCTGCCTGTCTCGGGGATTCCTCCTGCCTCATTGCTCCGGGGTCTCGGCCTTTGGAGTGCCTTGGAGGTCCCCCTGACCTCCTGTGAAGATCAGAGACTGCACCTCCCTCCCTTTTTAACTTTGACCGTTGACTTTTGTTTTCCTTTTCTAATTTTTAATGTGTTTTTTTGTTTTGTTTTGTTTTAAAACAAACAATCCAAGATAATAATCCCAGCTCTGATTACTTCAAGGCCTGGAATGTCTGGGCCTCTGGTCCCCACTTTTCCTTGTCTCTATTTTCCAAGTCTGTTGCAGGCAAGGTTCTTGCTTGTCTAGTCTATTCTGCACCCCAACTCCCTGCCAACAGTCCCCTTTCCTTCTGATGCCTTAAAGTCAGGCCCCAGGCCCTGCCCGGTCAGAGTCTCAGATACCAAGCTCAGAGGCTTGGCTCAGGACCAAACAGCTCTGGCTTGGGGATTGGGTTCCCCTTTACCCAGGGTCCCTACCCTGGGGATAGAAGGGGCCAAAGCCTTGGTCTTGGCAAACCCCTCCACCCTTTTGCACCCAGGCCTGTGCAGAGCCGTGCTTTTGCTGCCAGCTAAAGCCAGTCCCCTGTTCTCTGTCAGAGTTGCCAGCACTGTGTCCAGCTCACTGAGGCCCTTACCCCTTCCAAGTGGGGTACACCACCTCTGTATCCCCCCAGGCCAGATTGCCAGGAGCTGGCCTCCCTTTGGCCCTGTGCCCCAAACTTATTAACTCCATGCAAAGAAGCTTGCTCCTGCCCCCCAGCAGGACTTGTCTGCCCGAGGTGACCTGCACCTTGCCCCTGACCAGCTGGCCCACCAGCTTCCCTTTCCCTTCCTCCACTCCAGGGATACTCTCTCCCAAGTCTCACAGACCTTTGCTGAATTAAAGTTTGTAAGTAAATGGTTTTAAAGAAAACAAGGCTGACTGGTTATTGGAGCAAACTGGGCATGGGCGGGTATTCTGGGACAGACCGCAGATTACCGCGTGCCCGACATGCACGCGCCCTTCCTCACTAGCACTCCAGGTACTCGAATGTACACATTACAAAACACAGGCGCTTATACTATAATTATTACGGGCCTGTTGCGCGCGCCTCCTATGCGCATGCCTAGTCTGTGGGTCACGTGGCGCCTGTCATGGCCGCCTCCGTGGCCCGGGTCGGCGTGAATGCCGGAATCTTACTGCGGGCTACTCGGGGAGCTTGGTGGAGCCGACCCGGGGGCTGTTCAGGAACCGGAGAGGCAGCGACATCTGCTACAACCAGGAAGTTCTGGGCCACAGGTACCCAGGGTGTTCCGGGTGGGCGTTGTTAACCCATCAGTTACCAGCAGGGCGCGGCGCAGTCACGCCTGTAACTGTTTTTCAGGCTTGCGCCCTGCGGGAGAAAAGGCTGGCGGCCCGGAGCGGCCAGAGGATGTGTGAGTGCGGGGACAAACCCCATAATCCTGCCGCGAGGTTACTCCATTCTCCATCGTGTCCCTCAGTCTCATCTCCGGAGTCCCTCTTCGTCCCCATGATCTCCTATTAAGCCCCAATCCCTACTCCCTAACCCTAAATTCTACTGGCCTCTGGGCCCATACTCCAAATCGGCATTCACGCCCTATCTGTCTCCAGGGTGAACGTGGTGTTCGTGGACCGTTCGGGCCAACGGATCCCAGTGAGTGGCAGAGTCGGGGACAATGTTCTCCACCTGGCCCAGCGCCACGGAGTGGATCTAGAAGGTGCGAGTCTGGCTCCGAGAACTGTTAAGTGTCGTCGAGTCAGTTCCGACCCATAGCGACCCTGTGGAGGGTTTCCGAGGAGCGGCTGGTGAGCTTGAACCGCCGACCTTGTAGTCAGACCGACTTTGCAGTCTGGCGAGACCCAGAAATTGTTCATTTCAAGAACCCGCAGTACATTGGGCTATGACTTATCGCTGATTAACCTTCCAGTGATTTCCCACTAAACATGGACCAAAATCCAAACGCCACACCCTGGCATCAACGCCAGCCCAGTTCATAAGCTTCGTTAACTCAGCACTTAATGATTGAGCATTTCCTAGAGACCAAAATTGCTTTGCCAGAGCTTGTGTTTTCTTCTCTCTTCCTCCTTCTTGTTCTAGCCACATCAGCCTAGATGCTGTTCCTCAAACAGCCAAATTCATTCCAGTCTTGGGCTTTTGCATTTGCTGCACCCTCTGCCTGATTTAGGTTCCAGATCTGGTTCCTCATTCTCCAGGTCTCAATGTAAATGTCATCTTGCCAACCCCATCCTCCGTAGCTAAAGTTCCCGTGCCCTATCACTATCATATTAGTATATTTTATTGTTCCCATAGCACATACCATTTTACTTGCTGCTTCTTTAGTCATCTCCATGACAAGAAGCAGAGACTCCTATTTGCCAATTACCTGTTGCCTATCATAGTGTTTAAGGAGCTCTGGTAGTGCTGTGGGTTAGGTGTTGGTTTGCTAACTGCAGGGGCAGTTGTTCAAACCCACCAGCTGCTCTGCAGGAGAAGGATGAGGTTGTCTGCTCCCACAAAGATTAACAGTGTTGAAGACCCTTTACAGGGTCTCTATGAGTTGGAATCGACTCGATGGCAGTGGATTTGTTCTTTTGGTGTTTTTTGAATCATGGTATTTCAATATGGAGTCTTGGTGTGGTGCTGTAGGATAAGCACGGGACCACAAAGTTGGCAGTTCAGACCCATCAGCTGCTCCTCGGAAACCCTATTCGGGATCGCTGTGAGTCTGAATCGACTCAGAGGCACTTAACAACAGACATTTCAATGTAAAAACAAACAAACAAATTCATTGCTGTGCACGGTACAACAGAGTGGAACTGCCCCATAGGTTTTCCAAGGCTGTACTCTCCAGAAGCAGACAGCAGAAGAACGGCTGCTGGGATCAAACTGGCCGCCTTTGTGTTAGCCATCAAGCTCTATAACCATCGTTAAACCAGCAGTTAAGCACTTGGTAAACTGAAAGGTTATCAGTTCTAACCCAGTGACTCTAGGAGAATGAACTTGTGATCAGTTCCTATAAAGATTACAGCCATGGAAATCCTATGGGCCAGTTCTCTGTTCCATGGGGTCAGAATTGACTTCACAGCACCTAAATCTACTTGTGAAAATAATAAATAGTAGATACCACTTTTAAGCATGTTGACATACAATAACCAGTTCAATCATCATGACAACTCTATGTATCAGGGAAGTTGTTACCCCATTTTATAGAATAGGAAACTGAGCCCCAGGTTAGGTAGACCTGGTCCAAAGTTAAGTAAGTGACAAAACTAGCTTCAAATCTATCCCATTTTAACAATCCGACCTGCCCGTCTCTGAATATTGAGCACCTATTGGAAACCCTGTACAGGGTCGCTATGAGTCGGTTCCGACTCCACGGCACATAACAACAACAACAATTGTGCTGTGGCAACACTCACGCAAGGAAGCAGCAGTCAAGAAATCAGACAACATACTGCATTAGGCCAATCTGCTGCACAAGCCCTTTTTAAAGTGTTGAAGAGCAAAGATGTCAGTTTGAGGACTAAGGTGCGCCTGACTCAAGCCATGGTGTTTTCAATAACCTCATATGCAAGTGAAAGCTGGACATTGAATAAGGAAGACCGTAGAAGAATTGATGCTTTTGAGTTATGGTGTTGGAGGAGAATATTGAAAGTGCCATGGGTTGCCAAAAGAACCAACCGATCTATTTTGGAAAAAGTGCAGCCAGAGTGCTCCTTGGAGGTCAGGGTGGCCAGACTTCATCTCTCATACTTTGGACATATTGTCAGGAGGGACGAGTCGCTGGAGAAGAATATCATGTTTGGTAGGGTGCAGGGTCAGAGAAAAAGAGGAAGACCCCCAGCGAGATGGATTGGCAAAGTGGCAGCATCAGTGGGCTCAAGTGTGGCAACAATCGTGAGGTTGGCCCAGATTCTTGCAGTGTTTCGCTCTGCTGTGCATAGGGTCACTATGAGTCGGTACTGACTCAATGGTACCTAACAACAGCAACAACTGTGCTGTGGGTTAATGCGCTGGACTGCAAGGTCATTTAAACTGTAATGTCGGCAGGTCAAGCTCACCAGCTGCTCCTTGGAAACCCTACACAGGATCACTGTGGGTTGGAACTGACTCAGTGGCACTAAACAACAACTGTGCTGGAAGCCAGGGAGACGGCAGTGTACAAGACAGATAGGCCTCTGCATCTTTCACACATTTCAACTTAATAGAGACCATACTATGATAATTCCATGAGTACACATTCCTTCATGAGCCACTGGGAAGAGTGGTCTGAAGGAAATGGACAGAGTTTGTGTGTTAGGTGTTGGAAACCTGATTAAATCATTAGAGAGCTGGGGGTGTGGAAGAGGGGTCAGGGCAGGCCAAGTCTAATTCTGTTCTAGAGTCAGACTAGCTCCTCGTCTCTGGGAAGTTGAGAGCCTTGGCAGACAGCCCAGAACAGAGTTGGTTTTAGTGGCAGATTCATGTGTTCAAATTTTGCCCCTTACTTAGCTTTGCCAGGCGTTTCCTCACCTATATAATGGGATCTTTTCATTCCCATATCACTGTGCTTGCTGGGGGGATTAGACAGATGTCTTGCACATGGTTAGCATGCAGTGAATAGATGTAATGATTATATTTGGTTGGATCATTTTGATGTGCTGGGATGAGGATGCTGGCAAGTTGGGAAACAGCTGTGGAAAAGATGCCCATGTACTGTGTGGAGTTTCAGGGCCCAGACAGTTTGTCCCCAGGAGACCAGGAGGATGGGCCCTTGTGTTGATGTTGGAAGGCCAGCAACAGGAAGGTGCTGCTAGGTCTGGGGTCTGGAGGCTGTCCTTCTAGCTCCGCCTCATTGCAGGGTATGTTTGGACAAGGGAAGAAGAGAGGAGGAAAGGCTGAGCATGCTCCTCTTCACTTAGGGCAAATAGCTCTTGAGAACTGCGAGCTGTCCAGGCTCATTGTGAGGTACACAGCGAGCGAGGCAGGTGTGATAGTTCAAGTTTTGTGTCAGTTTGACTGGGCCAGCATTCTCAGTGGTTGGGCATTTGAGGTAGAGCTATTCCCCTATGATGGGATTTGATGTGATAAACCAATAAGAGGATTAAGGGACTCTACAGAACCTTATAACAGTATCAACACCTGTAATCCCACTGCAAGCCCTGATTCGATTTATGCAACACCTTTTATCTTACAAGAGATAAAGGAGAGAGACCTGAGTAGAGAAAGAGGCCTACTACCATCAAGATACAAGAGGCAGGAGTGGACAGTGTGTCCTTTGGACTTGGGGTCCCTGTGCTGGCGAGCTCCTAGATCCAGGGGAAGATTGATGTGGAGGTGTCTGGAGATCACCAAGGAATTCTAGGGCTACAGATGCTCAAAGGAGACAAGGACCACCTCTCCCCAGGGCCGACAAAGAGACAGTCTTCCCCATGAACCACATTCTGAATTTGGACTTCTAGGCTCCTAAACTGGGAGAAGAATAAACTTCTGGTTGTTAAAACCATCCACTTGGGGCATTTCTGTTACAGTGGCACTAACTAAGACAGATGGTAAGCCCAAAGAGCAAGATGGTTCCTTCAGGTGTGATAAATACTGTACCAAAATGAAAAAGGAGTAATGTGGGAGACTGGAATGATAATTGGAGGACAGTTAAATCCCCAGAGACAAGAAGGATAATGTGTGGGGTAAGTGGCAAGAAGAGCATTCCAGGCCAAAGGAGCAACAGGTGCAAAGGCCCTGAGGTAGGGATGAGCTTGGTGGGGTGGAATGAGCAGAAGCCATAGGGAGGAGTTTGGATTTTTATCTTGAGTGCAAAAATCCTTTAAGGGTTTTAAGCCAGGAGACACATTATCCCCAAACACAGTTCTCCAGGACCAGAGGGTTGGGAGTTTCTTAGCGATCCTCAGTAGGGCAGAGTTTCACAAAAAAACAGAAAAGCTTGGGCTCTGTGAGTTGTAGTCCATATTCCGTGTGCCTGTCGCCTACTGCACTGGGTTCCAGCCCCTCCCTCAGGAGCATCAGGGAAACTGAACAGGGAGGGACATGGTCATGGCAAGGGCTCAAGGTCTAAACAGAATCCCCCTGACTTTTCCCCTCCCAGCAACTATGCGCAGTAATGGTTCCCCATATCCAGCCAGGTCCTCAGCTTACTGGGGAGTCCTTGGGCAGTGGGATACCCCAGACACCCCAGGAGTGCACAGGAGGTACGCAGGCCCAGGAGGGAAGTCGGAGGCTTACTGCTTTCTATCTTTCCTGAAGGCACCTTCCCACATGGCTACCTGCCCCAATAATGCCTCCTCATTCACTACCTCAGGGGCCTGTGAAGCCTCCCTGGCGTGCTCTACCTGCCATGTGTACGTGAGTGACGACCACCTGGACCTTCTGCCTCAACCCGATGAGAGGTGAGTAGGACTGGGAGGTACCTGGGCTGAGCCTCTGGGTCCCAGGTCTGCAGAGGACAGCAGGAGTCTGTCCCCATTTCCAGCTTCTCCCCTGCCTGCCTCCCTTGGCTGCCTTCCTCCCCAACCAGCCATCACACCCCCAGTTAACACTGCCCTCACTGCCCCCAGGGAAGACGACATGCTGGACATGGCTCCCCTCCTCCAGGAGAACTCCAGGCTGGGCTGCCAGATCCTGCTGACCCCCGAGTTGGAAGGGGCTGAATTCACCTTGCCCAAGATCACCAGGAACTTCTACGTGGATGGCCACATCCCCAAGCCCCACTGACACAGGCAGTAGTTCATTGCTGGACATTATGGTTCAGGGCCAGGACTGAGGAAGAGGCGCACTGAGCCCAATACTGAGCAAGGGCAGGCCTAAAGTCGACGGAAAGGGCCGGAGGCCAAAGCCTCTGCTTCAGAGAGTCTGGGAGGCCAGGCTCTGGGGGGACCAGACCCTGTACTGGGGTGATTCCCCAAAACCACAAAGAATGGGGTGTGGTCGTGGGTGGAAGCCATTTGCAACCACAATAAAACTGTCTCATAGACTTCAGGATCTGCTTGACCTTGGTGGCAGCCTCTTCCCTCCTCAGGCAATGATAGGGGTGGCTCGGGAGGGGAGGTCCAGGTCTGGAGGAGGGTTCCTAGAGAGAGGGCCAGTCAGCCGAGAAGAGCCCACGTGGGTCAGCAAGGCAAGGCCCCGCCCCTGCAGCCGCGGAGGGATTTGAAGGGATCCCTTGGCCGGAGGGTGGGGTTCAGGCGATCTAGAAGAGCCAGAAGGGGGACCCACGCGTGGTTGGCCCAGTAAGGCTTGGAAGTTGGTGCTGAGCGCCCCCTACCAGAAGCGCTCTCTCCGTGCAGGCCCGTTCACTCAGGTGGGGCTCCTTGCATCTTCTGCCTCAAGAACCCCCCCACCCCCACCCCTCCCAGGTGGAACTCCTTGCATCTTCTGCCTCAAGAACCCCCCGCCCCGGCCCCGCCCCTCCCAGGTGGGGCTCCTTGAGTGGGCAGGCGGGGTGAGGTGAAGGGAACATTAGGGACTACAACTGCCGGGACCAGCCGCCATGGAGGCCCAGCCGTCGGCAGACTTCTCCATGCTGCTGTTGCGAGAGCTGTTGGCGCCTCCCCATTTGGAGCCGGAACCGCCCCCTGTGCCCCTCTCCAAGAGGGAGCCCATGACCCCAGGATACCGATACAGGTGCGTGAGGAGTGGCCCATTACCCCAACCCCCACTTCAATCCCCCACCCCCATCCAGCCCCTTCATCTGGCCCAGTAGTAGTCCTGGGGTTACCCAGGGGTCACAGTGTTAGTTACTGGAATTTACAGAAGGGTTACTTGGGGTCATATGGGGGTCAGAGGTCATGCTAACTCCCCTTACCAACACACACACACACAGACGCACACACGCCCTTACCCCTGTCGTGTCTCACAGGCACATACAAGCACCACTCAGAGATCACCAGGAATTGTGGAGAGTAACCAAATAATACCAATAACACTAAAAACCCTAACAGCTAGCAGGGATCTAGGCTTGGAGAGCTGACCATCCCCTGGCAGCTGTGGGCCTGCCCGCGTCTCAGTCCCGTCCTCTATGAGAGCTGGCTGCTCTTTGCCTCTCTGAGTTGCTGCTATGAGGATTAAGTACTCCATGGGGAGGTTTAGAAGAGTGCCTGGTGCACAGTAGGCACACTGGGTTTGCGATTTTGTCTTCTGGGTTGTTGTTAAAGTGCCGTTGAGTCGATTCCGACTCCTAGCCAGCCTGTAGGCTTCTAGGGTTCTGAGGCCCAGGTAAGGTGGAAAACTGCTCAAGGGCTCACAGCTGACAAGGGGTCAGGCACAGCTTGGAAGCTGGACCTGCTGGACCCCTGGGGCTCACCCAAGGCAGCAGGTGACCATTCTGTCCTCGTGCTCAGGTCCACCTCGACTGTGCGCCCGACCTCAGTCACCGCCCTGCGCTTCCTCCAGGCTGGAAGAGCCTGCTGGGAACCGATGGCTCTGGGGGCCCTGGCCAAGGATGCCAAGAACATGCCACCCCCCATCAGCCAGCAGTGCACCCTGGAGCCACCCAAGATCTCCACAGCCCCATCGGCCCTGTCCCAAAGAAGGCCCAGGAAGCAGCCAAACCCCCTGCGGGGCACTGAGAAGGTAGACCCTGGCTTTGAGGGGGTGACCCTGACATTTCAGATAAAGCCGGATTCCAGCCTTCAGATCACACCGAGCTACAGGTAGGGGCTCCCCCAGGTTCTACAGGGAGTAATGCCATCGGTGGGGGTGCCTGGACAGGTGTTTCTAATCGCTGGCCCCGGGAGTCTGCCTCCTGTTAGGAAGGAGAAGCTGAGCCTCAGAACAGGGCGGGTGAGACCTCAGACTGGGTTTCTAGAGCTGCTTCCTGAATCAGTCTCGTCCAGGCCAGCCCTGCCTCCTCTTCATGGAACGGTCCCGACCCTACAAAAGGCTGCTGTTAGTGTTCCTAGTCCTGAAATGATGCTACTGCTTCCCGTCAAGTCCGTTCTGACAGACAACCACCCTAGAGGACCGAGTAGAACTGCCCCGTTGTGTTTCCAGGGCTATAAATCTTTAAAAGAGCAGACTGCCACTTCTTTCTCTCACAGATGGTGTGTTTGAACTCAGGACCTCTCAGCAGCTGAGTGCTTAACCACTGCCCCACCAATCAGTCCTCTTCAGGCTAATGTTGTTAAATGCATTGAGTCGGTTCTGATTCACAGTGACCCTGTATAAAGTTTCCAAGGAGCTGCTAGTGGGTTTATATTGTAAACCATGAGGTTAGTAGCCAGTGCTTATCTTACAGCACCACAGCTGCCACTTATCAATGACAGCAACAATAAGAGGTAACATGTAGCAGACAATCTATGTATATGAACTCTTTAAAGCCTGTGAAGCCCATTTTACAGATGAAGAAACTGGGGCACAGAGGTGGCAATAACTTGTCCAGGCTTCCACAGGGAGGATGTGAGAGAATTAGGATTTGAACTTGGCAAATTGGCTCAGGTTTGTTGTTATCAGGTGCCATTGAGTTGGTTCCAACTCATAGTGACCCTATGTACAACACAATGAAATACTGCCCGGTCCTTCGCCATCCTTTTAACCATTGTCACATTTAAGCCCATTGTGGCTGCCATGGTGTCACCCGCATCTCATCAGGGGTCTTCCTCTTTTTTGATGTCCTTCTCCACGGATTGGTCCCTCCTGACAACAGATTTAATGCCTCTTAAAACAATGTTATTTACTGAATAATAATTATTATTTCACTAAACGTTGGTCCCTGGGTGGGGCAAAAAGTTTGCACTTAATTACTGACCTAAAACGGGCGGTTTGAGCCCACCCCATAACCCTGAAGAAGAAAGGTCTAGTGATTTGCTGCAGTAAAGATTACAGCCAACAAAACAGCACAGAGCAGTTCTATAACATGAGTGGAATCAGAAGCTGGGGTTGATGAGAAGGCAAAGGGAGGTCGTTCAGGCACCAGCCGCATCCTCAGGGGCTGCTTGATACCTTGATGATGTTGTTAAGTGCCATCAAGTTTGTTTTGACTCAGAGCGATCTTGTATAAGGCTTCCAAAGAGTGACTGGGTGAATTTGAACCGCTGACCTTGCGGTTCAAATGACCTTGTGGTCCAGTGCATCATCCCACAGCGCCACACCAGGACTTCCAATTTTAATTTTGGGAAACTGTTCTGGGGTGAATCGGTGAGCCCCCAATGCTGATACCTTGTCTGCCCGCAGCCTGGCCTGCAGCAACCGTAGTCAGGGCCTCCTTGCTGGCCCTGCCAGGGCACCTGAAGCTGACCGGGGAGGCGGCGAGTCTCCAGGTGAGTCCTGGAGTTTGAGAGCTTTGCCCTTCCTGTCTTTGTCCTGCCCCTTGCTTTGCCAGCCCACTTCCCTATTTAGATCATCTAAGAGGAGTTTACAAGCCCCCCCAAGGCTGAGTCACCCCACCCCCAGTTTCTTCCTCTGCCAGGCTTTGCCATCTGTCTCCCTGCCTGGCTTTTCCTCAATTTTGAATCTAGCAACCCCCACGGCTGGCTCAGAGCCTCCACAGAGATCCCCCAAACCATCCCACCACACTGACTTCCTGTACCCAGACTCTTGATTTCTGACCCCCTCCCTTTGGCCTCTACCCATTCAGGACCCAGGCGCTGTGCTTCCTGTAGGACTCAGAGGACCCCACTCTGGAGAGATGCTGAGGATGGGACTCCGCTCTGCAATGCCTGTGGTATCAGGTACTCAAAATGGAGGAGGGAGGTTCGGGTCAGCCTGTGCTGAGCCAGCATAGGGTAGCAGGGTAGAAAAACACCCACCACTTCCTGGGGGTGGTTTCTGGCCTTCCACTATAGCTTCTTGAATGGTGGTTTCTTGTACCCCACCCCCAGGTATAAGAAATATGGTACCCGATGTTCTACCTGCTGGCTGGTGCCCAGGAAAAGCGTTCAGCCTAAGAGGCTCTGTGGCAGATGTGGGGTGTCCCTGGGTTCCCATCAGGGCCCAGGTCAGGAAGGGTAAGCCTTTCCTCACCCAGCCAAGCTAGTCCTGCCTCGGTTTCTCCACATGGAGAATAGGCAGAAAGGCTTTTCTGGGAGTGGCAGGGATAAAACCTCTGGGCCCTGAGAACTATTTCTGGAAAAGTGGGTGGGGGCACAGCTCTGAGCGGCTTCCTCCCCTGTCCGGGGGTCCTAGGTGGAAGATTCTGACCACAGGCCCCAGAGCCCCTCAGGGAGAAGAAATCCCAGGGAGCCGTGGGCCCCTTCCTCAGCCCCTGCTCCAACCCTCATGGGCTGACCTCCATCTCAGGAGGTGTTCTCAGCAGCGCTGATCAGGATGTCACCAGTTGGAACAATAAAGAGGAGAGAGCTACTCAGAGAGAGAGCAGTTTGATTTGGGGACCCTACCTGTGCTAAGGTGCCTTCGTCGTCTTCAGCTCAGGGATCTGGGGGCAGATGTGTTGTCATTGGGGTTCTGAGAGGCACATTCAGTAACACACAGACCGAGTAGGCTCTACAGGCGACATTCACCACCAAGTCACGTCCGGGGAAACAGCCACCATAGGCAGAAAGACACATGCGCTGACAGACCCACACAAGAGGATAACAGACAAATACACACAGACACACGTGTGCTGATAGGCACCTATGGAATAGACATGTGCTGATAGACACAGGACAGAAACGTGCTGACAGACTTATGAGCCTAATACAAGACACACACATGTGAGAGAGACACACAGGGCAGACACATACACACAAAACTGACATACACAAGCTAGTCATTCTTCTGTCATCCCCCTACATGCCCAGGACTGTCCCCCACATTGCAGACCTTCCCTAGCCCCACCTGAAGCCAGAGAGACCCTGAGAGAAGTGGGAAAAGCTGTAGGAGAAGGTCTGGGGTCCAGTTTCCTCCCTCAGTCCTGAACACCCTCTCCCAGATCACCCCATGACTACAACCTTGTCATAACTTGTAGGAGCTCAGCCCCACTGTCCCTTTCTCAAAATAGCCTACCTTGACCACCCAGTCAGTGTCAGTCCCTGACTCTCAACTCATTGCAGTCTCGACTTCAGATGTTTCCTGGGCTCCTTCTTGTTGTTTGTTGTTCGGTGCCGTCAAGTTGGTTCCAGCTCATAGCGGTGACCCCATGTACAATAACACCAAATACTACCCGGACCGGTGCCATCCTTGCAGTCGTTGCCATGGCTAAGCCCACTCTTACAGATCTCAGTGAGGGTCTTCCTCTTTTTCACTGCCCCTCTACTTTATCAAGCATGATGTCCTTCTCCAGAAACTGGTACCTCCTAATAACATGCCCAAATTGAGATGAAGTTTTTGCCCTTCTCACTTCTAAGGAGCATTCTAGCTGTACTCCTAAGATTTGTTCATTCTTAGAATGGTTCGTGGCATACTTAATATTCTTTGCCAACACCATAATTCAAATGCATCAATTCTGTATTATTCATTGTTCAGTGTTCCCATGCATATGAGGCAATTGAAAAGTCCATGGGTTGGGTCAGGTACACGTTAGGCTTCAAAGTGACATCTTTACTTTTTAACACTTTAATGGGCTCTTTTGCAGAGATCTGCCCAAGACAGTATGTCATTTGACACCAGCTGTGTACATCTAGCAAATACCCTTTGAGATCCTCATAGTCCAGTGCTGGAGGCTGAGAAATCAGAACAGGGAGCGGGAGATCTACAGGGTCTATGTGTTCCAACCCACCAGTGGCTCCATGAGAGAAAGATGTGGTAATTTTCTCCCATAAAGCCTTAGAGCTGCGAAAGCCCAATGGGGCATTTCCCCTCTGGCCTGTAGGGTTGCTTGACTGAGTCAGAATTGACTTGACTGGCAACAAGTTTGGTTTGGGTTTGCTCAACATTTATTGAGCAACTAATACATGCCAGACCCCAGTGGAGACACTCAGCCATGAATAGATCGAAGATCCATACCATATTGGGGCTCATGCTCTAGGCCAACAGAAAATAACTATTCAGTTATATGTTGAATGGAACTCTCAAGTAGTGATCCATTTTACAGAAAACAAGAGAGTCAGGTGATAGTTTGGCAAGGCGACTTCACTCATAGCAATCCGGGAAGGCTTTCTGAGGGAAGTGATGGTTTGTGGTATGAAGCTCTGAAGGACAACTGTGGGGCTGGTTGAGGTGAGAGGACTCCTGGCAGAAAGACTACAAAGGTCTGCGGCAACAGGACTTGGTGGGGTGTAGAGAGCTCTGGTAGCGTAGTGGTTACGAATCGGGCTGCGGTCTGCTCCCGTAAAGATTTATAGCCTCGGAAACCCTGTGTAGGGTCGCTATGAGTTGGAACCAACTCCACGGCACATAACAACAACAACAAGGAACAGCAAGGAGACTAGGGGGCTGGGGAGATGTGATTAAGGGGTACAGGTGGGAGAGGCTACACCACACTGGGCTTCATTCACTGCCTTCAGTACCCGGCCCCGGCCCCGGCACTGGCTCGGGTCCTCTTCTGAGTGGAGGAATGGGCCCCAGGGGCAGCCAGTGGAACAAAAGTTGTCAGGCCAGCTTCCTTCTTCTGGGCTCTGTGTTCTTGCTCTTGAGGGAGTAAGCAGCTCTGGGGGGAAGGAGAGACAACCCAGCTGTCATCTCCTTATGCTGTTGGGGGTAAAGGGAATGGGGGTGTGCAGTGAGGAGAGTTCTGAATCAAGATGGCCCAAGTGGAAAGACAGCTTGGGTAAACTGGGACAGTGATGGACACAGGATGGAGGCCTTGAGGGTGGCACTCAAGGACTGACACAGCTACTTCCTTTGTGTGCCCGTCAACAGCTAGCCCTCAGAGCCCTGGAAGGTAGTTCCCACTCCATCCAATCTGGCCAGGTGGCCTCAGCACTGCCAGTGACCAGTAACCACACCTGGGAGAAGCTCCTTGCCCCCACTGCAAGAGTTAGCCAGATCAGCAGGCAGCACTGAGGAAGAGAGAGAAGGGTCAGGGAGGAGGAGGAAGGAGTTCAGTCTCACCCATTACCCTGAATCCAATGAGAACAGGAAACGGAGACCAAAGAGGGCATGCAGCAAGCTCTAGGTCACACCAGGAAAGCCAGTTTGGACTTTGCCTGGCATTTAATAAAACCAAACCAAAAGTAAACTCACTGCCACTGAGTCGATTCCTAGCTACCCTGTATAGGATTTCTGAGCATCTAAGTGGAGCTCTGGTAGCATAGTGGTTACAAATCAGGCTATGAACCGCAAGGTCAGCAGTTCGAAACTACCAGCAGCTCCACGGGAGAAAGATGAGGCTTTCTGCTCCCATAAAGATTTACAGCCTTGGAAACTCTGTTCAGGGTCGCTATGGGTCAGAACCGACTCAACAGTATTTAACAATAACAAGTCTTTACTGAAGCAGCCAGCCTCATCTTTCTCCCATAAAGTAGCTGGTGGGTTTGAACTGCTGACCTTGTGACTAACCCCCAGAGCACCACCATGGCTCCACTGGCACTTATAGAACCCACAGGATCAGGATTTGAACCCTGGACTTGTTACACATGGGAGCACCTTGGCTCTGTAGAATATGTACTGGACTGCTCACTATAAGGGGGGTGATTAGAGCCCACAAGCCGCTGAGGCTTCCAACTCCTGAAAAGATTTACAGCCTTGGAAACTCCGGGAGTCCAAACCGACTGGACAGCACTTGACTTGTTCCACATCATAGCACAGAAGCAGAAATCAAGGGCCCGTTATAAAAATTTTATTGGGGGGTTAGAAAATAAGGGTGTCGCCCCTGCAGCTGAATAAATAAATGAGTAAATAAATAGAACAATAAATAAGCCCCCCCTCGTGTGCGTCTGGGGGGTCGTCCCCGTGCCTGCGGGGAGAGGGGCGCAGGCTCACGCTGCTGTCAGCTGTATGGCGAAGATCTCGCCCCCCGCCGGCGACTCGGCTGAGCCGGTCTCTGGTCCACCTTCTGCGCCTGGGCCCCCGCCTGCCCCGCCGCCCGCGCCATTGAGGCACACGGCCTCGCCTGAGCTCTCGGCCTCTTGCACGTTATACTCGCCCTTCTTGCAGGCGGTGGACTGCACATAGAAGGCCAGACCGGCCCCCGCGGCCAGCAGCACTGCGCCCCCCGCCGCGCCACCTATGGCCACCCACAGCCATGGACCTGCGAGGAGAGATCTAGTTGGAGTTCACCATCCTGTGCTGTAGGCCAACAGAAAAGAACACTCTGGGCTCTGGGTCGTCCTCTATCCCTCTTCCCACGTTTCGTTCAGTGGAGAATGAAACGGGTCAAGTCTTCACCCCACTCCAATACGTCCATCCAGACTGCAGTCAAGCCCTGGGGTCTGCTCCCCCATCACCAATCCCCACTGCAGCCAGCAATCGACAGCTCCACCTCAGGGCCCACTTGAGTTTCAGCTGTGGGGCTCCAAAGAGTCTAGTACCAAATCCGATGCTCCAAGCCCCAGGTCACACCCATTACAGATCCCTGGCTCCTCCCTGCCACCAGCTGCCACTCACCGGCCACGCGCACCGTGATGCGCCGCGCGTGGCGCCCGTGCGCGTTGGTGGCTTCGCACTCGTACTCTCCGCCGTGGCTGCCCATGGCGCCGGCCACACTCAGCGTGCTATTGTTGCTCGACAGGCCAAAATTGGGGGCACCTGGGGGCGCGCGCCAAGTGATCTGGGCTGGGGGCCACGCCTCTGCGCGGCACGTCAGCGTGAAGTTTCCGCCAGGCCGCACACCTCCCGGGGGCGAGGCTGCCAGCTCAGCTACCACTGGTTGGTCTGTGGAGACAGGAGACTGGAAGGAGGCTCAGCACCAGCTCAGCAACTAACCAAACACCGTTCTTCCGCCCACCACAACTGCTCTGGGACCACCTCCCTTTGGTGAGGGCCTATCGAGGATCCTGCCTTACGCTAGAGCTCCCCCCCCCCACCCCAAATAAACCAGCTGTATGTAGCCCGACTATTGTCGGGACGAGAATCCCCACCAACCGGGACGCTTTTCCATAGAATGATAAATGGGGACCCGCGTCAGTGTTCTGGCCGAGATTTAGGAGAACCGGATTCCAGTTCCCTAGAAGTTTTATTACCCATGATTTAGACTGGAAATCCTTGCCTCTCTCCCCCCCCGCCCCCCACCCGCCGAAGGGAACTGGGAGAGATGCCCTCTGTACTCCCTCGGGATTCCCCACCACTGCGTGCCACTCTTATAGAATGTCTGGTCCCCTCCATCCACTGCTGCCCACACTCACATTCCACGCCCACTGTGATTGTCCGGGCGTCCGTGCCATGCACATTTGTGGCCACGCAGCGATAGGTACCCGCGTCGTTTCGGGTCACTCGCTGCAGTTCAGATCGGGGTGTGCCCTCCCTCCAGCAGCGCACCCGTGGGGAGGGGCGACCCCGGGAGGCACAGGCAAGAGCGGCGGCCTCGGCCCCTTCCAGCCATGTCTGGTTACTGGGGCAAGTCGACTCGTCCATCTGCGGCGGGGCTGTAAAGCAACCATGAGGGCTTTAGGGAGAGGTTCGGATTCTGGACTACCCCTACAACCCCTCCCGTCTGGACCCCGCTCACACTCCGCGCTCACGGCGACCCTCTTGACCACGGAGCCATGCTGGTTGGTGGCATTGCAGATGTAGATGCCAGGTGTCAGACCACTAGGGATATTGGAGGCTCTGGGAGTAGGGGCTGGGGATGCCAGCGGTAGCAACAGCCCCTCACTGATGCCCGCGGAGCCGACACACTCCACGTTTGGCTCTGGCTTTCCGTCGACCTCACAAGGAAACAGCTGCCCAGATCCTTCCACCCATGTCCAATTGCTGGGGCAGCTTAACTCCTCGAAACTGGGGGCATCTGGGGGAGGTCAGCAGTGACACAGGGGCAGGAAGTCAGGCTCAGGTGGTCCTAAAGACCCCGTCTCGCCCAGTGGTGCCCCCACTCACATTCCACCGTAACAGCCACATTTTTGGCAGCAGAGCCCCTCGGATTGGTGGCTTCGCAGCGGTAGGTGCCTGAGTGCTTCCGGGCCACGTGCAGCAACCCCTCGAGGACTCCATCCTCCTCAGAGCGCACACAGCTCACGGTGGGCGGCGGGACCCCATGCGCCACGCAGCTTAACGAGGCCTCTGCTCCTTCCAGCCACGTAACGCGTTCCGGGCAACCCACGCTGTCCAGCGCCGGTGGGTCTAGGAGGTGAGGACGGTCATTGTTGCGTTTAGGGTTTTTTGGACTGGCATGGTGTGCCTAGGCCTGATCGAAGGGAGGTGGGGGCAGGCTGTGCTTTGCAAAGGGATACCGAGCACTAGGGAGTCGCTGGACTTGCAAGGTCGGTTTGAACTGCAAGGTTGGCGGTTCAAGGTCAACAGCCGCTCCTTGGAAACCCTATACAGCGTTGCTATGTGTCGAAACCTACTCTGCGGCAATTAACAACGACAACCAGAAGTCATGGGGTCATCTCAGGGTTTAGTGAACTTTGAGGGACAGCTTATCCTGATTCCCACAAAGCCCCCTCCGGACCCATCCTGGGTGGTCCAAAGCTTGCCTAAGGCCTGCCCCAGATCCCTATGGACACACCTAGGACCCCTGTGTCCTTTTCAAAGATTTCCCCCAACCACGTTAAAGTAGCACAACAACCAACGGCCCCGTTTCTGCAAATCCTGCTCAAAGGCTCACCTCAGAGCCCTCTGTTGTTGTTTAGTGCCATCAAGTCAGTTCCGACTCATAGCGACCCTGTATAGGCTGAGGAATGAGAACCGCAGACCTTGTGGTTCCAACTGACCTTGAGGTCCAGTGTTTTATTCCACAGCGCCACACCAGGACTCAGAGTACCATAGACAGTCTAAGCTTGCTCCTAGGAGCTCTGGTAGCGTAGTGGTTAAGAATCAGGCTGCAAACCTTAAGGGCAACAGTTCGAAACTACCAGCTGTTCCGCGGGCGGAAGATGAGGCTTTCTGCTCCCGAAAAGACTTACAGCCTTGGAAACCCTGTACAGGGTCTCTATGAGTCGGAAACCGACTCCACGGCACATAACCATCAAGCTTGTTCCTACTCTTCCCAGGTAATCCGGCTACCCCCTGACCCTGTGAACGCAACCCGCGCATCCCCACTCACACTCCACCGTCAGCGTCACGTCCTTGACTGCCTCGCCCTGGGCGTTGGCTGCTGTGCAGCGGTAGGTACCGGCGAGGGCCCGAGTAACTGGACCCAGTAGGCCTAGCGCCAACACGGCCCCGCCGTCTGGCCGCGCGCAGTGCACAGAAGGCGCTGGGTTTCCACGGGCCTCGCAATGCAGCGTCTGCTCCGGGCCTTCTGGCCACGTCCAGCTCCTGGGGCAGTCCGAATCGTCCAGCCGGGGAGCATCTGAGGGCAGGATGCGAATGCCGAGCTAGATGTAAGCAAAGTCCTAGCCTCCATGAAACCTCAAAGCACTCGGCAGTTCTTGGGACGTGAGGGGATAGAAACCAACTCACATAGGACGCGAAGCTCGGCGCTCCGGTTCTTGCTCAAGGTCTCCCGGTCTACCTCGAGAGTGGCGTCGCAAAAGAAGCCGCGCCTATCATCATTCTCCGTAGCGTTTAGCTGGAGCTGCGCGGGCTGCCCCGGGGCCATGGCTTGAACTCCATCCAGTGTGACCAGGGCTTGGGCCCCAGCTGTGCAGGTAACCGTCACCATAGTCCCCTCGGGTGCTATGGGCTCGCTCAGGTTAAGCAGGGGCGCCGGGAAGCCTGGGGACCGGGCACAGTGGACCGGGAGTCCACTGACCACGCCCCATTCCCCCACCCCCCGGGTCAAAGCCCACCCTCAGATTCCAGAATCCTCTTAGTTCAGTGACTAAACAGAGTAGCGCGCTCCACCTCTGGGGACACTCAGGCTCCGCCCTCATGCCCCGCCCCTTCAGGCTTTCCGGCCACGGCTGCTGGGTTATACTCCAATGGACGTCCCGCCTTCGCGTTCCTCTAGCCCCGCCCCAGAGTCGCGGAGGCTCCGCCCCCTCCCCTCCCCGCCTTACTGTAGACAGTCACGTTCTCTCGCGTCTCCCGGCTTTCGCCTCCCAAGATCACACTGCAGACCAACTGCCTGGTGCCCTCCTCCTCTGTGCTCGCTGTGGCTGTAGCAGTGGCCGTGAGCGTGTCGCCCTCCCGCATGACTTCGGGATTCAGTGTCAGGTCGCCCAGCGCCAGGTAGACCTGGGCTTCAGATGCCGGAAACAGTCCATCGAGGGTGCAACTCACCGGCTCTCCCGAGCCCACCTCCAATAGTCGGGGAGCGGCCAGGCGCGGAGGGTCCGGAGACAGGGCTGGGGAGGGTGTGTGTATGGGGTGTTGAGCAACACAATTTGAGCTTTTCGTGTATAAGGCACTCAATATATGGTTATGGGGTTAAGTAGAAGTGCTTGGAAACGCCTAGCACATTGTTGCAGTTAAGTGCCGTCGACCTGTTCCAACTCATGGCAACACTATATAGGGTTTCGGAGGAGCAGCTGGTGAGCTTGAACCCCGCGGAACTGACTCGACAACAACAATGTTCTAGGCGTTTCCATGCACTCGTACTTAATTCTTACAACCATATAATGAGAAAGTACTAAAATCCTCGAGGCACAGAGGGGTAAACCACTTTCAGCTGGCCGTGTTGAAAACAGGATTAGAATTCAGGTCTTTTTTTAAAAAAAAACTTCTCAAGCACCACTGGACTGACCCCACTTGGTGTCCTCCTCCCCAACCCCACTCACCGAATATCCGGAGCTGTCTAGCGGTCGAGCTGTTTTCAAACAATCCTAGTCCATGCGGCCGCAAGTCCAGCTCCGCGCGGCAGGAAAAATTGGCCTCGTGGTCTTCCCTCCGTGCCAGCACGGTGGCCGTGAGCACCGCGCCCCGCGCGCGAGGTGGCTCCCCCACGAAACTGCGGCGAATCAGCTCTTGGGTGCCCCGCAGCAGCGTCAGAGTAAGGCTCCCACGGGGTCCCGCACCAGGAACTCTACAGCTCAGGGTGAAGTTCTTGTCCACGGGCTGCCAGGGCGGCAACGGCACTAGTTCTACGCGATCCGGTCGCTCTGCAGAGGAACCGCGGCTCTTGAAAATGCCTCGGACTTAGCTACCCAAGGCGTGAACCCGAGATGTGTGGGGGGCCAGAAGGGAAGGGCCTTGGAACCAGAGGGTGGGGTTTGAAGGCGCTGACCTGGGGTCTCAAGAGGAGTCTGGAAGGGAAGGAACGTAGAGTACGAGCGTGGCGGTGGAGAACTCACGGAAGGTGCGGATGAGCCCACGCGCCTGCAATGTGCGCCGCGCGCAGCGGAAGAAGCAGACGGGCTGCGTCTCCGGTTCGCGGATGTCCACCAGCTGCCGTGCCAGCCAGCGCAGACCCCTCTGGGTCCCGTTCCGGCGCAGCGAGGTCTCCAGGCCACCACGCTCCGGCCGTGGGCAGTTGGTACTGCAATTCAGCCACAGCGACCCCCCGCGCTCCACGAGCGCCACGCGGGGCTGCAGGTCCGCCCAGAAGGGTTCCTGCGCGACCGCTGGGATGGGAAATACGGACTCAGCCTGGAGGAGCCACTTTTCGGCATCTGAGCGCCCCTAACTGAGTTGGGGGTCTCAGGGAAACGTACAGAGGCTAGTCAAGACAGTGTTTAGGAGTCCCGCGTCCAGCCCAGACCTCAGATTTGGAGGCGCGCTCCTAGGCTCCAACCTCGAGGATGCCTCTGGGACATAAGAGTGGAAAGCCTTGGTCTCCAACGATCAGATAGAGCAGTGGCAAAGAATGGGGGAAGGGCAGGGGTCTTTCGCACACAGCACACTAGGGGAGAGGATCACGGATAGGGGAAGGGAAACGAAATGGTTCTTGAGTCCTGGCACTTCGCGGGGAGAAAGGGAGACTGAGGTTTGGATGAGGGCAAAGGAGGGAGGAGGCTGGCTGAATCGAGGATAAGGGAGGACCCCAAATCCTGATGAAGGACATGTAAATAGGGTTCAGGACTGGACATGTGCAAGGCACATCAGGAACAGCCAAGGGACCTGGTTGCCAGGGCTCCGGATGGTGAGGGGACAGCGTCTCTGAGTCACGGTAGTTGGAAAGATCGGGTCTTCGAGGACCACGGGTAGGGAACATCGCCTATGGACCATGGTGCCCAGCACAGTCTAAGGTGGTACCCCGGGAAGGGACTAAAGGGACACGGGGCCTTCAGGGCATAAGGCTGGGTGAGGAAGAGCGTTCAGGATCTCGAGAGGGTAGGATAGAAAGAGACCTGGGCACGCGAGGAGTCAGGAAGCCGGGTCTCGGATGTGTATTGGGAGGAGGGAGGAGAAGACTAGCGACAGAAGCGTGGGAGCCGAAGAGCAGGGCGGAGCCGGGAGGGGCACGCGGTCGCTTCTCAGGTCCGAGAACTCCGCCCTCGCCGTGTCCACCCTCAGTAGGGGCAAGCTCTTACCTGAGAGGCCGAGGAGCCCCAGGCTCAGGGCAACCCAGAGGCCGAGTAGCGCCCGGCGCAGCCCTGGCCAGGGCCCTAGCATCGCCGCCGCGGGGGAAGCGCAGGAGGCGAGGGGAGCGCGAGCGAGGAGCCGGGCTAGAGGACGGCGCGGCGGGTGGGGTGTGGGGGAGGCAGAGTTGCGCTCAGGGATTGGCTTAACGTTGGTAACTTGGTTTCCAAGGAGGGGGCGGCAGCAGAGGCGGCGTGGGGCGGGGGTGAGCGTGCGCCAGGCTCCGGGCCTTGGTGACGGCGAGCTGGCAGGAGCGAGCGACCTCCGGGGTCTACAAGGAAGCTCGCCCGAGCGCCTGAAGCTTTTTGGGGGCGGCTGCGAGCTCCCGCGTCATCCCCGGCGGCGACGCGGAGGTCAGGGATGCTAAATCGCCTACCTTGGATGCTATGATAATGAGCTGGTCTCCAGTCCCCGCCTCCATATTTAGTCCCTCCCACTAGCGCCCCTTAGGCGGGGACTGATTTGGGTGCTAGAAGAGGTTTGTACAGCACAGGATGGAAAGGGGAGAATTCTAGGATACAGCAGGAGGCTGCCACCCTCACTGATCCTTCTTCCCCTTTTAACTCAGGGGGATCTCGAGGTTACAGTCATGTCCTTTCGTCCCCCTCTTGCTCGCCCCGGCACGCGACGGAGGGGGAGGGGATGAGTGCCAGTGAGCCAAGAACACGTGTGCATAGGCGCAGCATTCGCGGGCGTCTAAATTAGGGTCGGCTGGGCTCCGGGTCTGTATTTACCCAGCGTGCAGCAGGCACGTGTCTACTCGGCGTGTGTGAGAGCGAGCAGCGGAGGGGCGCCCCTGAATCCGCCTGCGGCGCCCAGGGTAACGCCCTGGATCGCGTGGGCTCTACTGAGCACCCAACACGGATTCTGTGACCACGCGAGCCCCAGAGATCAACTGTAGTGCTTTCAACACCGCATCAAAATCCTAAGCTTGGACCCAACCCTACCATGTGCCCACGCAGCTCCGTGACTACCAGGACAATATGACACCAGTCTGTAAACTCCATGTAGAGCATCTGATTACCCCTTCTACCTGGTACCTCTTCTGGTAGCTGTCTCTTAATATGTCCACGTGACCCTGTCCATTTGTGTGCTCACCTCCAGCACTAATCATGAAGTGTGAGGGACGATTCTTGCTCTACCCTCGTCCAGGAAAGTACAGGGTCTAAAATGGAGGTGTGGGCGAGGAAGGAAACTTAACAACCAATCAGAATTTTTGCGTGGCAGTCAGAGACAATCAAGAAAAGCCAGATCATGAACCAAACCCCTCCTTCATGGTCCTCTTGGGCCCAGCTTTGCCCATCTGCACAGGAATGATAAGGCCCAAAGGAGTATGTTTCATTATATCCACTGGAACGCAAAGGTATTGGGGCTCAGAGGATCCCAGGTAGGTCTAAGTGAGAAGACCTCAGGTGCCCTCAGGAAAACAAAGAACTTGGAGAAAGTGAGGAGACCACTTCCTCCGAGGAAACGCACTAATTTAGGAGAACGGTTAGGCCAGAGGACAAAGCCTTTATTGTTCTGGGTGGATCTGAGGAAGACTTTACTGATCTGGGATCCTCAAATTGCTCCAGATTTTGTCTCCGGCTTCGGTTCAGCTGGCTGAACCACTCCACACACTCTTCCCTAACACCTAGGCCCGTGTGGCCAAGTACTTGCGTAGGTAAGCGGCTCCCACGGCGAGAAGGATCCCCACAAGGGCTGCAATGGAGGTGAAGGACAAGGCTTTGGATTCGGTGTTCCAAGCTGAGGACAGGAGATGGAAATCAGGAACCGACTGTGGTCTAGAGTGGAGTTCACGCAGGCGCCGAGACTCCTTCTGGAGTTAGGACCTTCCCCACCCTCTCTCCAAGTCCCCAGGGTTTTCAGAGGTGCCTCACCCAGGGCGGTCAGCGTCAGGGGCGCCGAGCTGCTGCGAACCACCAGGCCGTCGAGATTCAGGCGCGCATGGCACGTCACAGGCTGCCAGAGGTCGCGGGATCCGGAGGGCAATGAGTAGGTCAGGGTCACATTGGCCAGATCCAAGCCCGTGAAGCGCTCAAGGCTCTCCGAGTAGATGACTCGGCCACCACGCCGCAAACTCACCACCAGGAAGCCCACGGGGAACACGTGCGTCACGAGGCAACGCAGCGTGTACTTGCGGCCCACTAAGAACGGAGGCTTCAGGATCACAGGCTCCAGGATCACGCTGTGAGGCCGTTCTGAGACAAGAAGAGCTGCTGAGCAAGGCCTACAGGCGCCCCCTAGCGCGACTGTCAACCTCCCGTCCCTCGCCCCTCGCCCCTCGCCCCTCGCCCCTCAACCCCTTCCGGTACAGGCCCTGGACCCTCACTGTAGGCGGTGACTCTGGCCGTGGCCCAGCGCGTTTCTCCCTTGCAAGTGATGAAGCAATGCACGTCAGAACTCCAGGCCCTCACGTCCAGCAGCTCGTAGGACGTCCAACCCGGCCCACTGAGTGTCTTGCCCCGCCGCAGCCGACTGCGAAGTTCGGAGCCCTCCGGCAGGGGGCAACTGCTACTGCAGTTGAGCCACACTGAGCCCCCTGGCGGCACCGCCACGAACTCCGGGTTTAAGCGCACCCAGAAGGGCGCTGAGGTCCCCGCAGCCCGACGTCCCCGAGCGCTCTCACCTTCCAAGTAGTCGACCGCCAGCAAAAGAAACAGCGAAAGGGGGAGCAGAGACCCCATGGCAAATAGCCCGAACTGAGGGGCCCAGAGCCAGGAGTCACGGCTGGCTGGGTCAGATAAGGAGGCCGTTAGGCCCGCCTACTCGGCCCCACCCAGAGAAAGAGCCCCTTCACGCTCACCCCAGAGCCCACGAAGCCTACAACAAATACTCCTCTCCGTCAGCTCAAGAATTAGATTCCAGACCCCATTATAAACCAAATGTCAAAGCGATTTTTTTTTTTGGAGGAGCTTTTAGTTTTCACTAGAGTCCGGAAAGGTCATAAACAGACTCAGAATTGGAGCAGAGCCCCAGGGTTGGGCCTTGAACCACAGCCCTCTCTTAGGGGAGGAAGTGGGAGGACAGGGCTTTGGTAGAGCTGCTAGAAAGGGTTCCAGCTGGAAGTGACATGTCTCCTCAACTCACACAAGGCTTGGGGAAGATGAAAAAGCTTTATTCAAGGGCGAGGCTTCCAGTGCTGGGAGGGGTCCTCTGAAACCTTGGCCACCTTCCCCACTGCTTACAGGGCTTGCAAAATGGCAGGAATTTGGAGTGTGGAGAGTGTTTTCTTCTTGTTATGGTCTCACAGAGCTGGAAGCAGGTAGGACAGGACATAGGCGCTCAGGGGCTGGGTGTGGTTACATGGAGTTCTGTGGGTTTGCTGCTCAGAGGCACCCATGTTTAGGCCTCATCACTGAATGTCATTGTTAGCACTGGCAGAGATGTTTTTGGGTGGGGAGGCTGCTAACTGAGGTCATCATCAGTGCTGGGGGGTAAGGGTTTAGGGGATCATCCACAGGCATGTCAGCATTGTTAGTTCGGGCAGTGCTTTTGGCAAAACTTTGAAAAGGATGCCCCTTCTGGGGTAATGACCCTGCCAATGGAGTGAGGACTTCCAACCCCACTTGGGCTTTTTGCCAGGCTCCCTCAAGCAGCGCACAACCAGTACAACTGTACCAGGCAGTCCTGAATGAGGTTAGACTGAGAACTCCCTGAGGGCATTTGCCTCGCTCAGCATTCTAGCAGACACAGAAGGCACTCAATAAATATCTGGTGAAAGAACAAATGAATAAATATGGCATCATCAAGAATTGGAGATGACGGTACAGTGCTGGAGCTGGCATCCCTTGGAGGAAGTGTGGGACTCTGTGTTTCAACACTATGTGTGTTTGTGCAGGCCCACTCTGTCCTGCAGGCTGTGGGGCCTCAGCATGTGATGTGGGAGGTGAGCTTCTGTCTCCTGGCCACGTGTCCCCATATTGAGAGTATGTGTCTATCAATACTCCCCTTGTGGCCAGGTCAGACTTAAGTCTTGTTTCCTCCTCTCTGCTCAGCGCTGTGAATACAGGTCAGGTGGGAGGCCTAGGTGTGCAGATGCCGTGACACCAAGCACTGAACTGTATGCCAGCTGAGGCCACTCTCCTGTCCTCTGGTGTCTGGAGGAGGTGGGTGGAGCTGAATGTGTCTATCTACCATGTCCAATACGGCACCACTGCCACCATGTGGAGGAGTCCAGCCCTGGGTTGGGCTCAGGGTGGTGAGGGAGGCATGTTCATCTTCATGGAGGCTGCCTCCTGGGCCTTTTGTAGCTTGTACTTCCTGATTTTCCGCTGGCGGTTGTAGAACCAAGCTGTTAAGACTGCAGCGCACAGTATGATCCCAACTGTCACCGTAATGATGATGGCCAACAAGTTGTCCTTGTCTGTGGGAAGGACACAGGAGGTGGTGAGAGCTGAGTTGGGCCCCCTGTCCCACCCCACCCAGTCCCACACACCCGCACACTCACAGAGCACATTCACCACCACTTGGCGTGTCACTTTGCCCTGTGTGCTCACAGCCTGACACAGATAGATGCCTGAATGCTCCCGTTTCACAGGCCTCAGGTCCCCGATGGGCAGTGAGAACGCATCCTCTTTTCTGTGACAATTCAGTTTGGGGCGTGGGTTTCCCCAAGCTTGGCACTTTAGGGTCTGCTCTGAGCCTTCAGTCCAAGTCCAGTTGCCTGGGCAGTCCTCTTCATTTAGGCGGGGACCATCTGGAGAATCACAGCAAGGTGGAGCTGGGATCAGGGACCCAGGACTCCAGAGGGCTTAGGTAAGAATCGGGAATGGAGGTGGGAGCAGGCTTTGGAGGGCAGAAGCTTATAGGGTCTTAGGGGTTTGGCCTTAGAGGTCAGGGGTCATCCTACACACTCACACAGCACACGGAGTTCCTGGGTCTGTTTTTTGTAGATCACCTGCCCGTCTACTTCCAGGACAGCCGAGCAGGTGAAGCTTCGCCCGTTGTCCTCAGCGCTGGCGTTAAACTGGAAATGGACCTTCCAGTTTGAGGACCGGATTGGGGTTGAGGTAGGGACTGGAACCCCGGTCAGTGTCACCACAGCTGCATCATGGGCCTGGCACACAACATTCACCTCCGTCGATTCAGAGACCTCCAGGTTGCTCAAGGTCAGGTTAGGATCCGGGAAGTCTGGGGGCGAGGCATAGAGTGAGCCCCAGCTTTTGCCAGCCCCACCCTCAGACTCCCCACTTCAGCCACCTCTTACTGTAGACTGTCACTGTCTTCCAGGAGTCGCAGCTTTGGTTGCCCACGATTACCACACATTTCAGGGTCTGGACACCCTCCTCATATTTATTTGCCACGGCGGTGGCCATGACAGACTCCGGGGCTGCGTTGGACACCATTACAGGGCTCAGTGGCGTGTCCCCTAACGTCAAGTAGACCTGGGCCTCCCTGGCTGGAAACACCCCTTTCAAGGAGCAGCTCACGGTCGTGTTTTGGCCCACCTCAAAGATCTGGGGGGCGGTGAGGAGCGGATCGGTCTCTGGAAGGACTGGGGAGAGAGGGCAAGGAGTGAGTGAACAGAGGGGACAAGCATCCTGTCACCCTTTCCTAAGGTATTTTCATGGCCCTACCTGGAACACCCTCTTTCTGGACACTGTGGCATGGGTCACGGGTCACTAGCATCCCAGGACCCACTCACTCCTTGGCCAGGGTCCCAGCCTTCTCAAATAACCCTGCGGCCTTTGGCATCCTATCCCAGGACAACCCACTCCAGTGGCTATGGGCATGCTTTTCCCAGAAGCCTCTGCAATTGGGGGGGGTCTCACAGCTAGGGGTCCTTCCTCCCCAAGAGTTCTGACCCCCAAGCGGAAGTACTGCTTGCCCCTAAACCCACCCTTTCTGAAGGCGCCTCACCAAACGTCTGGAGCTGCCTGGAGGTCGAACTATTCTTAAACAGTGCCACGCCTTGAGACCGCAGGTCCAGTTCCGTGAGACAGGAGAAGTTGGCACCGTGGTCCTCCCTGCGTGCCGGCATCGACATCGTGAAAGGGACCTCGGCGGGCTCCCCTACCACGGGCTGTCGGCCCAGCTCCTCCTCCCCGCGGAGCAGCACCACCTTGAGGCTATCCCGGGGCGCTCCACCCTTCACCTGGCAGCTTAGGGTGAAGTTCTCACCCACCGGCTGCCAGAAGGGCAAGGGTGCCAGCTCCACGAGCTCCGGGAACCCTGCGGAGAGTAGGGGTAGCTGTGAGTTGAATAGCACCCTTGGCCTGCAGGAGACGCTGGGGCGCTGGCTGCACCTGGCCTCCCCACCCTCCACTCTCCCCTGAAACACGCCCCACCACAGCGAAATAAGGCTTATCTTCAGAAAAGAGTGCCTCTGGGAATTCGTTTTAAATTGCTAAAAGTTCTCTCACAGTTAACTATGGAAACTGCAAAAGCAAATAGAAACTACTTATTCGTGCTCCTACCTCAAGTTGTCCCCAGGGCAGTACCATACTTGCTGCTGCTTAAGGCTCTGTAAGAATGTCAAGAACTTCAGTGAAACTGGTGAGAAGGCCCCAAGTGTTTGTGAAGGGGCCAAAACATTCTTTATTCATTGCAGGATCTTGTTGTTGTTGTTAGGTGCCATCAAGTGGGTACTGACTCATAGAGACCATATGCACAACAGACCGAAACACTGCCCGATCCTGGGCCAACCTCACAATTGTTGCTGCTACGCTTGAACCCATTGATGCTGCCACTTTGCCAATCCATCTCGCTGGGGGTCTTCCTCGTTTTCTCTGACCCTCCACTTTACCAAACATGATATCCTTCTCCAGTGACTCGTCCCTCCTGACAATATGTCCGAAGTATGAGAGACGAAGTTTGGCCATCTTGGTCTCCAAAAGCACTCTGGCTGCACTTCTTCCAAAACAGATCTATTGGTTCTTTTGGCAGTCCATGGAACTTTCAATATTCTCCTCCAACACCATAACTCAAAAGCATCAATTCTTCTACAGTCTTCCTTATTCACTGCCCAGCTTTCGCATGCATATGAGGTTATTGAAAATACCATGGCTTGGGTTACGCGCACCTTAGTCTTCAAGCTGATATCTTTGCTCTTCAACACTTTAAAAAGGTCTTGTGCAGCAGATTTGCCTAATGCAATAGGTCGTTTGATCTCTTGACTGCTGCTTCCATGAGTGTTGATAGTTGATCCAAGAAGAATGAAGTCCTTGACAACTTCAAGGATGCCATGTTTTTCTTCATATAACCCAGCTTCTTGGATTATTTGCTCAGCATACAGGTTGAATAAGTATGGTGAAAGAATACAACCCTGTCACACACCTTTCTTAATTTTAAACCATTCAGTGTTCCCATGTTCTGTTTGAACAACTGCCTCTTGGTACAGATTACACATAAGCACAATTAAGTGTTCTGGAATACTCATACTTCACAATGTTGTCCATAGCTTGTCATGATCCACACAATTGTAGGCCTTTGCGTAGTCAATAAAGCACAGGTAAATATCTTTCTGGTATTTTCTGCTTTCAGTTAAGATCCATCGGACATCTGCAATGATATCCCTCATTCCACATCCTCTTCTGAATCCAGCTTGAACCTCTGGAAGTTCTCTGTCAATGTATGATTGTAGCTGTTTCTGTATTACTTTTAGTAAAACTTTACAGAATCTTAGAGAGTGCAAAATGGCAAGGAACCTTGAAGTCCACCACCAAGGGCTCTATCTGGTCAGGTAAATGAGGGACACTCATTTAAACAATGGTCCACTGAGCATTGTTTAAAAAGATCCCTCCCCCTTCTTCTCCATAGTGTCCATCACCTTTTAACATGTGTTGTTGTTGTTGTTGTTGTGATGTGCCGTGGAGTCGGTTCCGACTCATAGAGACCCTGAACAGGGTTTCCGAGGCTGTAAGTCTTTACCGGAGCAGAAAGCCTCATCTTTCTCCCGCAAAACAACTGGTAGTTTCGAACTGCTGACCTTGAGGTTCGCAGCCTGATTCATAACCACTATGCTACCAGAGCTCCTTTTTATATATTTAACATATGAGGAGGCTTCAAAAAGTTTGTGGAGAAATGGAATGAAAATATACTGGAATAGCTTTTATCAGTATAAATATAATCTACTCAGTTAACGTGTTTCTCCTCTGTTTCCCCCATAGGGTGTCAGGCCTCAGGCAGGTGAACTTTCTGTTTTTATTCCCTGTGATGCCTGGCACACAGTGGTGGTGGTGTGCTGTGGAGTCCGTTTCGACTCATAGCAATCCTATATAGGGATTCTAAGGTGCAGCTAGTGGGTTTGAACTAGCAACCTTGTGGCTTGCAGTCCAGTACTGACCCTACAGCACCACACCAGGAGTCTTGTTGACTCATCGTTGTTCTTGTTAAGGGCCATCTAGTCAGTTCCAACTCATAGTGACCCTTTATAGGGTTTCTGAGGCTGTAAATCTTTATGGGAGCACACAGCCTCATCTTTCTCCTGCAGAGTGGCTGGTAGGTTTGAATTACTGACCTTGTGGTCAGTGTAGTCTAGTGCTTAGCCTACAGTGCCACTTGCTAATGCACTGCCACTAAAATGTCAGAAGCCAATTGGGTCTGGGTTTGGTTCCCAGCCTTCTTGATTCTTTAATGTGAGCAGATGGCAAGTGACATTGGCTGAACCTCAGTTTCTTAAGCTGTAAAATGGGGCCAGTAGAGGTACGACTGCAGTCTTGTTGTGGCTCTGCAGGTTAATGCACTGATCTGCAAAGTTGGTTTGACCCGCAAGGTCAGCGGTTCAAGGTCACCAGCAGCTCCTCAGAAATCCTATAGAGGGTCACTGTGGGTCAGAACTGACTCAACAACACTTAAAAACACCACCAATAACAGAGGTAGGACTATTATGAATCCACCAAAGACGCTGAGAGAGTTAGTTTAAATGGCAGACAGTTTCTTCTGGGGATGATGGAAAACATTCTGAAATTAAACAGTGGAGCTGTTGTCAGTTCCATGTACAGCACGAACATCCACTCAACTGTCCCCTTGAAAAGGACGAATGTTGTGGTATGTGAATTATATCTCAATAAAACTGCTAAAAAAAAAAAAAAAAAGGCATGAGAAAATCCCAACATCTGGCTCTTATCTCTCAGAGCCTGCTACAAATTTCAGCTCAAACTTCAGTCCCCAAATGGCATCCAGCAGTTCCATAAGCACAGTTCCCTGCCTTGAAGAACTGGGCCAGGGTGGGAGAAGACGTGTTCTGATTTTCCCTCCCCGTCTTTCATCTGCTCCCCTCTGCTCCTTCACCAAGCAAGGCCTTTGACTTCACTTTTCAAATATTTGCCAGCCCGGCCCTTCCCGCACGTGACCTGGATGAGACTCCTGGCCACCTGCTCCTTGGCCCTCCAGTTTTCTGTTTTCTAGATTCCTGGCCTGTTCATACACCTTCCATGGCTCCTCATTGCCCCGAGAAGGAGAAGATCCGAGTCTGGCATTCAAGACCCTGCCAACGTCGTCATAGCTCCAGTCAACCCAGTTACATTGAACCCCTCTTGCTCCTGATCAGGACAGTCCCTCTAGACCCCTGTTTGGGCTATTCCCCTCTGCTCAGAGTATCTGTCTTTACCAACTCCTACGAATCCTTCCAAGGCTCAGATGGGGTCGTGTCCTCCAGGAATGACACCGTTAATCTTTTGGGAGAAGCCTCAGCCATCCAGGAATGCCCTCTTGGCTTTATTAATTGGTTCTTTTATTCATTTTTTAAAAATCATTTCTAATTATTGTTACAGCAAGGTTTCCTTTAAACAGCCTGGTTGTTCTTGTTGTTAGGTATGTGACAACCATGTGACAGATTAGAACTGCCCTATGTTGTTGTTAAGTGCAGTCGAGACGGTTCTGACTCATAGCAACCCTCTATAAGGTTTCCAAGAAGCAGCTAGTTGGTTTGAACTGCCGACTTTGTGGTTTAAAGTCAAGTGCTGACCCTACAGTGCCTCACAGAATGGCCCTATAGCTGTTTCTAAACTACAATCTTTATGGGAGAAGATTACCATGTCTTTCTTGCACAGCTGCTGGGTAGGTTCGAACTGCAAACGTTTTGGTTAGCCAGCTGAGCACTTAACTCTTGTGCGCTCATCCTGCCAATAAAGATGAGGCCGAGGCAAGCTAAAACGCCTTTCTCAGCTGACCCTCTCACCTTTGACTTCCTTACTACTGCATGCCAGTCATCAGCTCCTTTCATGGAGGAGGAGATTAAGGCAAAGTCATCTACACAGTCACGGAGGGAGAAAGGTGGGGGAGCTGGGGCTCAAACAGCGTGAGCTTTCAATAATCAGGCCGAGAGGCAGAAGTTCCTTCTAGAAGGTTTCCCAGCTCACAGAAGGGGTTTTCAGAGGCCACCAGGAATGTTTGGGGACTTTCCTCACTGGAAGGGTGACAGCATCTACTTAAACATCCTTAAGGCAGAAGCAAAACCAGCATTTGCTTAAAGGCTTCCTCTGCCCAGACACCTTTGTACTTTACCACTTTGTTAGACCCATTCAAAAAGCTAAGTAATGGAAAAGGAAACCTAGAAGCCCTGTCCCCAGGGTCACCTCACTAGTGGCAACACAAGATTGATTACCTCTAAGGACAGCCCCTTCCCTCCTTCTCTTTTTTAAAATTTGGATTGTATCTATTTTTGCCCTGAGTCACTTATTCTCACAGTTGAAAATCCCCCAAGTAAGAAAGGACACACCGAGAAAAGTTACCCCAGTGAACACTGTGTCCCTTCTTATATCTCCATTCAGGATTAACTCTGGTATCAAGACAGCCTGCCCCTCCCTTCTTAAGACAGAGAGGAGCATTCCTTTCACACTGGGTACACCTTAAACCAGAAACCAAACCTGCTGCCATCAAGGCCATTCTGAATGAAATGTTCCATAAGATTTGGCCATAATGTTTATGAAAGCAGACTGCCAGGTCTCTCTTCCATGTTACTGGGTGGATTCAGACTGCCAACTCTTCAGTTAGTCATTGAGCACAATGTTTTGCACCACCCAGGGGCCTAACCTTTTCTGTACTCTACCAGCCACCTTAGAGTGCTCATGTAGCACAGCGGGCTAATGCGCTAGACTGTTTGAACTGCAAGGTTGGTGGTTCAAGCTTACTAGTCACTCCCCGGAAACCCTATACAGGGTTGCTATGGGTCAGAACCGATTTGACTGTACTTAGCAACAACAACAACCAGCCACCTTGGAGCCCACCCTTTTTCACTTCACAAGGAGTTTCCTTATTCTTTTATACAGCTGCATACTATTCCACTATATGGCCAAACCAGGGATGACTTCAGAGGTCCCTGGACTTGAGCGCTTTGCCAACTGTTGCCTATCCAAATAAAGCTACAGGGAATGACCTTGTCTTCCCACAAGTTCCCTTGTGGACAAGAACATTGGAGGAGAACAAATTCCCCAGAGTTGGATCCAAAGGACCTGTACATGCATGGTGTCATTTTGAGAATTGATGCTAAATCCCCCACTACAGGAACATTCATATTTCTATTCCTGCCAGTGATGTTTCAGAGATACCTGTTCCCCCACAGCCTTGCCAACATAGTTGTTAACGACTCTTCAGATAGTTGCCAATCCGCGCGGGTGTGTGGTGTATGTTTCCTTGGCATCTTTTTAAGATCTAGGGCTTTGACATAGCTGTGCTTCCAGAACGAGACATAGAGAGCCGGTTCTCTGGAGTGTGCTGAGAATTCCTGCCGAGGTCTGACCTATACTCAAGGTCTAAAGAGGGGTTTCCAAGGATGTCCCCATCTATCTTCCCCAGTGCCACCACCAAGTAACAAGACAGCCTGAGCCCAACCCCTTCCCAGTCTGTTTAGTCTGGCTCCCAGGGCTACCCACTTACTGTAGACAGTGAGGGACATCGAAGACATTGTCTGCTTATTGTCACAGTTTGTAAAGCATATTGGTTTGCTGTCTTCTTGAACATCACTCAGTTCAAAGATCTTCCAGTTGGTCCCACGAGCCACCTCAACCTTTTTTAACGCAGTCTCCAGGCCCACATCAGAGGGCTGGTCACAAGTGGTGCTACAATTTACTCGTAAAGAACCTCCATGGAGCAGTGTAGCCTTGGGGGGGTCCACCGATGTTGTAGCACCTCCACACCCTGCAATGAAAAACCGGTCACTTTGAGGAGGGGGCAGATGGTCCAAATCAAAGGGCCTACTGGGACCCCAGCCTAGGCTGGGTACTGGAACCATGGACGTCAACAAAACAAAACTGCCTGCCTTTGCTGTGGGAGAGACAAACATTTGGGAGCAAACAAGATAATTAATTACTGATGTTACTAAGAGCTTTGACACAATTAAAACAGGGTGTTAGAACAGTGGTTGGTGACAGGGTGATTTCTGTATAGATAGCTGCTATAAGAGCCAGCCATTTAAGGAAAAGGGAAGTAAGTTTCAGACCAAGGGAACAGCAAGTGCAAAGGGCCCGAGGCAGGGTGGCTGCCAAAGAGAAAGCAAACAGAGCAAGTAGGAGGAAATGTAGCCCAGGACATCCTGTGGGCAGTGCAAGCTTCCCTGAGGACATATTCTCTATTGGAGAGCAGTGAAGGAACAATCAGTGAGTGCCCTCCTCCCTCCCAAGAGGCCAAGAGGAGGGGACCAGCCCGCCAGGACCAGGGTATGCCAAGACTGAGCATGGTACACAAAGTCCAAGAACAAAGTCCAACAGTTTAGAGTTCAAGTCAGGCTGGCTCCCAACTCTGCTGGTAAATAGTGTTCCCTCCCTGGGTCTCAATCCTTAAGGTGGGTGACTATCATTTGTCCCATTCCCTACTAACTTGAATGATCCCTACACAGGGCTGGTAGCAAGGGGCTGAGGATAAGGCGGAGGGAGGGCTGAGGTTGTGTTTTAGACTCTGACAACTGCAAATCTGAAGAAATGTCTGAAACTACCTCTGCATCGCTGCTCTTGTCCCAAAAGGTTCCCCCCGAAACCTTGGGTGGGGTGGAGACATATGAGAACAGAAACTTTCCAGGAAGTCCACCAGGGGAGATTCTGTGATCAATTCCCATTTCACCAGCAAAACGGTGAGGTTCAGAGAGAGGAAGTTACTCAGCTAGAAAGTGGTGATCCAATTTCAGCCCTTTACCTGACACATCCCAGCATCAAGTTGATCACCAAACAGTCAATCTGCCACTCTTCTGTTGCCCAACACCACCATCTCCTTTGAGGATCTCTGTCCTCCTTTCCACCCATCCTCCCCAGAGAGGGTTCTAGGTCTCCCAGTTCTAGCCTCTGGGCAAGCCAACCCTGGAATTCCCCTGAGTAGAAACAGCCCTGGACTTCCCCAAGGGAGGGGGATGCGGAACAGAATGTGTGTTTGTAGGGGGAGGGGGACCCCCCAACCTCACTCAGCTTGAATTTGGCCAGTCCCTGTCTTAATCTGGCTGCTTCTTGGAGCCAGGCACTGGGCTGGATCACAAACAAACCCTGCAAATTGGCTGCTGATCCTTCCCCACTTGACGTTGAGAAAACAGCTTCAGGGAGGGTATTCACAGACCGAGGTCTGTCTCTCTCACTCACACACACACTCACACACGGACATGGGGAGGGGGTCTGCATTTGAACTCACTGGACTTCCTATCTGTGACTCTAACCCTCCAATAATGGTCATGAGTCATCCACCTTTCCATATAGTCGACATCTAAGGAGCTTACGAATCGGGCTGCTAACCGCAGGGTCAGCATTTCGAAACTACCAGCGGGGAGAAAAATGGGGCTTTCTGATCCCTTAAAGATTTACAGGCACAGCACAGAAGAACAATACGAATAGCCACGAGCCGGTCCTCCCACCGCGCCCAGGGCGCAGCCCAGATTCCGGATGCTGGTGGTCCCGATTGCCACTCGGTCCCCGACTCACCTGGGAGCACAGTCCCGAGTAGGACCGGGAGAGCTGCCAGCAAGGTCCAGGCACCGCGGGGAGCCATCGTAGGCAAAGCGGGAAGAAATGGCTCTTAGGTTCTGGGTGCAGGGTGCGAGAACAGATTGGGTCACGAAATAGTGCGTCGGCCTTTTATAGCGCCAAGTCACTGGGGGGTCGGGGGGGCGGTGCTGCCTTCCCGGAAATCTCGTGCCTTCCCTCCTGACCAAGGGCTCTGGCATTTCCGGATTTGAGGGTGCCCGGCGCCTGGGGTCGTCCTCCTTGCTGGCCATCGAGCATCGGAATTTCCGAGTTGAAGCAATCAGGGAGGCGATTGCCGCGGAGGGACTGGGGTATAGCAACCTGGGGGTACCGTGGCCTCCAGGGGTCCCAATCTCCCACTGAGCTAACCTGGATGCAGCCTTAACCCTGTGCTGAGCGCTTTATTAAATATTTCCAACCATGCTGGATTGTAAGGACTGTTGTTTTGTCCGTTTTAAAGATGGGTAAACTGAGGTTCCGAGCTGAGAGCAAGGGGATTCGCACCCAAGTCTGACACACACACACACACACACACACACACACACACACACACAGTTCATGCATCTTTAACCAAGCGAACGAGCCCAGGAATCTTAAAGAGGCGGGCTCCCTAACCGTGCATGTCTGGGCCTCCCCGCGGCTGACACCAAGATTTCCAGCGAAGAACCAGCAGCCAGCCCAGGCACCTAATGCACTGCGAGGTTCTGAGAACCCCGGAGGTGGGGAGTACTTGGCGTCATAGCGTCCGGGGGAGAGTCAGTGTGTGTTTCCCCCTACCCCCATGGGTGCTCTTACCCACAGGGCCCTGCTTCCCCTTTTAGCTCGGCCGCTGGAGTGTATTTACAGTGTCCAGAGAAAGGAAGGAAACCACGTGTGCCTTGCGCGGAGCCCCTCAATTCCCATCCCAGGCTGCTTGGGGAAACGGAGGCAGCAGTCAGACCTTGACAGAGGAGGCGAGAGGGGCCGCTGCCACCGTTGCGTTACGCTGCCACCAAGCCCCACACGTGGGATAGGGATTGTGGGTTCTCAAAGCGCTGTCCTAGTAACTCGAGACCCTGACGTCCGTACTCAGCATGTGCCAGTCTTTGCCTGGGCTGACTCCAGCAGGACGAGAAGGGTGCATGGGGGTGGATGGTAGTGTCTGTAGGGCGAAGGCGGGAAGTCACCACTCCTCGGCCACGCCTGCGCGTGTGACCCCTAAGATCCGGCATTCACCGGGACTCTGGGGTTTCTGAGCTCCGAGCAGCGCCGACCAATGTTTCCTGTTGTTGGGCACGCGCTGCGTCGCCATAGAGACCTGCTGAAGGGGCCAGGGAGGTCGCGCAGCAGAAGGGGAAGAGAGGGAGGCCCCGGGGATGAGCAGGTCCTTCCTCTGTAGGCTGCGAGTCACTAGCCGGCCAGAAATGGACACCCCCCCGCCCACACACACACAACCCCTCCCACTCGCCCCAGTTGTTCCTAAGGAATTTCCACGGGGATCTTTCTGCTTGAGGGTTTGAGGGTGCTGAATCCCCTCCCCGGAACGGCCTGGGCAAAAGGGTAAATCTGGGGAAATCCTGCGCTGCAGGTTATTTCGGGTGGAGTTTTAGCCAGTACGCATCTCTGTCCTGGGACCTGGCCCGAAGTGTGTGGACGGCGAGCGCCACCTCGCGGCACAGCTTCCACTTGCAGGCACAAAGCGTCGACCTTCCTCACATCCAACACTATTTATTGAGCGCCTGTTGTGTGCTATGTAATGAGTTCTGACTCATAGCGACCTTGTAGAGTTTCTGAGAGCAGCTTTGAGGTTACTCATCCAGTGCTCGTGCACTAAAGGAGCCCTGGTGACAGAGTGGCTCGGCTGCTAAGCCACCAGCTGCTCTGTAGAAAAAAGATGCGGCGGTTAACTGCTGTAAAGATTGTTGTTAGGTATCTTCCAGTCAGTTCTGACTCAGGGACAACAGAACACTGCCCTGTCCTGCATCATCCTCACAATCAGCCACAGTATCAACCCTTCTCACCGACACATGGCTTTAACAAGCATGATGGCCGGCTACAAGGACTGCTCCCTTCTGATAACATGTCCAATGTATGTGAGACAAAGTCTGGACTTCCACATTTCTAAGCGGCAGTTTGGCCACCCTCACTTCTAAGGAACGTTCTGACTGTACTTCTTCCTAGACGGATTTATGTCTTCTTCTGGTAATCCATGATATAGTCAACATTCTTCATCAATACCATAATTCAAAGGCTTCAATTCTTGTTGTTGTTATGTGCCGTGGAGTCGGTTCTGACTCATAGCGACCCTGTACAGGGTTTCCGAGGCTATAAATCTTTATGGGAGCAGAAAGCCTCATCTTTCTTCCATGGAGCAACTGGTAGTTTC